GGGGGTGGGTGGGACGATACGCCCGCGCAGTCGCGGTCGCCTTCGCCTAGTCCTAGATCAGGGGGTAGGGAGTGGGATGAGGAGGATGGGTATGCGGGAAGGGCGTGGACGTTGCAGGAGATCGCTGCGAGGGAGGGGGAGAGGAGAGGGGCGGATGAGGTGAGGGCGCCTGTGCGGTTGGAGGACGTTGCGATTGTTGGGTGTCAGGGATTCAGGGCTGAGCATGGCGAGGATCTGACGGAGCTGTTGGGCGAGCGGTTGAGGCTGCAATAGCACTGTCTCCTTCGCATTCTGGGTTATGAGGTTCGTACGCCCGTCGTTGTGTGCGATTGGGAACTTGGAAGCCGTTTGCTGATGCGTGTTTACAGTGGTGTTGTACGATTGTTGGGGAGGACGAGCGATTACGATTATGTGATGATTACACAGCCTAACCCCTTTTATCTCTCTGTATCTCTCTGCTGGGTGTTGTTCATGTTGTGCTTGGTATACATATGCGTCTCGATGAGGACTGTATCGATACTTATACAAGGTTTGCTTAGATAGAAGGGTTATCATTGGGGTCGTCCGACATACATCGGCTCCTGACCCAGCATGAGGCAGAATTGCTCTCAGACCACGGCCACAACAATGTCAGTCGCTCGGTGCATATACTGGAGGAAGAGCGATCATGGATATTGACGGTAGTGATGACAAAGCTCTGTAGGCACAACTGCGTAATGGCGGGGGGATCTCATCTGGTATCTCTGGTAAGCGCCTGCATCTCGCCGACTACGGGCAACTTCGTGCCATTCCCGTCACGGTTGTCAGTGCGCCGTTTTGGGCGGTGCGTTATCAGATGACGTCCAAATAAAGCGCCTGTCAGCGCGCTGGGCGTGTTGCTTGTTTCCCATGCTTTGTCCCTTTCCCGGACCCCACCACTGGCTAGTTTGTCTGTACTCATTCCGCGGCCCTTGGTCACTCTCGCCTGCTTTTCCGTCTCTAACCGCAGCTCTCCGATGTCTGATGATGCTACCACTGTTGCTCTACCCAGACCTCCAATACGTACGTGCTCGCCACGGGTCCCGTGCGCTTATATACGGGAAACGGCTGAAATATGCTCTGTGGTTAGATGTCGACGGAGGTTTGAAAAGGGGCGCTCGAGGTCCTATGAGGACTGTAATCGAGCTTCTTAGTGCTGTACCGGCGGCAAAGCAAGATGATATCTATTTGAAGCTCGTGTCCTCCGTCATCGCTGCTTTTATAAAAGCGCAATCTGTGTGTACCTGTCGATTATATACAAGATAATCCCAGACTCACTACGTACAGGATGTCAAGACATTCGTATCGCGGTGGGAGAAGTTAGGCACCCGATCACGGGATATCGTTGCAAGGATTCAGACGGTGTTCACCACCCGCACTGATTTCGAGCTCAGCCAAGCAGCTTTAGCGGCATTGCGAATCTGCGACGAACTATTGGGGTAAGTTAATTCTATCCACGTCCACCGTTTCCATTTGATCTCCATCCATAGTATGGTTGTGAAGGCGCTGCCGCTCTTGGTCAAGTGCATCGCTCAGCCGGATCCAAATCCAGGCGTATATTTTGTCAGAAAGCTCAAAGTGCATGCTCTTGAGTACTTCGATCGCGGAGATATGTTGTTGGATCTGCAATATTGTATGGATAGACTCGATGCTGCTCGTGCTGAACTGCTTGCGGTGCGTGTCGGTGGCTGTTGAGTAGCGGCACCATCTCACAAATCTTCATACGTAGTTGAACTTCTTCGCAACGCGCACGGCAATGAACAGATTCACCGAGAATGTTCTGCGAAATTTTCAGCAACCAGATGGCCATACAGTGAGGCATTGCAGTATTCTATGACGCAAGTGCTGATCTACCGTCTCCAGAACAGTGTGGAGGTGTCAGAATCCACATCTTCTCCCATCCCCGATCAGGAAACATCTTTCATACTCGAGCTCTCGGCCGTCCAACCGTCCGATCCCAAATCTAGGGCAGATCCCACTATTTCTGCCCGTCGAGATCTGCGACTAGCATCGTTTGGCGAGATGACAACTGGCGGAACTGGCTCGCGGTCACTGGGTGCTGCATCTACCGCATTATCTCTGACAAAGGACGTACTTGAAGCCGTGGACACACTTCCGTTCATCAAATACCTTGCGTCAGCCGGCAAGAAACTTCTGGAGTATATCATTGTGAGATCATCTCTACTGCATCTGTGGCATGTATCTTAGCTGGGTGGCAGGATGCACAGATACAGGGCGACATGTTCCAACGCCTTGCGCTTCAAGCCAACGACTTCATCGTGATACTCGCGGATGCATGGAGAGATTGGCTTACCATTGCTGAATCCTTTGGAGAGAGTGATAAGGAGTTGAGGCTGAAGCACTCGGGCTTCTTCACCATGGATGAGATAGCTGAAAGGTTCAAGAGAAACATGTCTCAATTCACCAGGTCTGTGGGCGACCACCAGATTCACTTTCGTATGCACAACAGCTGACATCGTCATACAGGACGATGGAAGAGCTCGTCGATGTTGCGGACAAGAAAGTAGCTCGTAATATGGGAAAAAAGATGATCGAGACCGAGGATGACAAGGCTTTAGTGGAAGGCCTGCGCGAGGAGATGAAGCATGCCCACACGATATTTCAAGTGCGCCATCGCTATGGGACTAAGAGGATGGCTTCTGATATGCAGATGCAGATGCAGAGAGACCTGATACATGACAGGATGCTGGTTCGCTTGAACTACATATCGCAGATGGAGCGCTCTCCACGAGTCGAGTAAGCCGTATCGGATCATTCGGACGGGCGTGCGTTGTCCTGCCTTGATGATACCATAGAACTGCTCTGAATCGTACGTGTCAGTCGTATCGTTGGACCTACCGTTGACTGTGGTGTAGTATACCTCAACGAGAGCACACGCGGGCTGTCGTCGCGCCTCCTACTACTTGTGCATTGCCCATCAATCTATCAGATTGGTCTCAAGAGAGCCGTGCGTATCGTCCATAGCATCAATAGATGATGCGTACAACCCATCCTCGTGATAGAGAAGGCCCAGAAAGGGGACGCGGGCATCGACGTAACAGTAGTCCATCTGCATCGCCGATAGCGCAAGCACCGCAATCCGTTGGGATTAGTTCCCGCGCGACGAGTTTCTTGTTGTACTATACATCTTGCTTGAGCCTGCTATGAGAGGCAGCGGGACAAATCCAGACGATGTATGTCGCACGGGCTGTAGCTGCTGGTCGTCTGCGGCACGCCCGCCGGCGCCGACGACGCGAAATGATTGATCGGCCCGAACTTCCACGTCTCCGCGTTCCGACGGACTCCTACTTGTGTAGATCCACCATCTCCAGACTCGCGCCCAATAGTCAGCGTGTATTGAAAGAGATGAACATGATCATAGCCATAGGTGAGATATACATGGTCATAACTATACTACGCGTTCGCCGATTGTTTCAAGAAGTGTGTCAAACATCTTCGCGATGTTCGCTACCATCTCTGGTAGTAGAAGCGGTGCCCTCCACGCTGCTTTCTTCAAGCTTCTCGACTCTGCGCCTGTGCACTCCTTCGGCAGCCGAATTGCTTTCCACGCCTTCCTTTTGCGATACTCCACTGCATGTTCGAGCCGGAGGTTATACTCGGCGTTTGAAGGGATCTCGTGAGGGAGGTAGCTCAGGTCCGGAAACATTCCTTCCCTGCGCAATAGTTTCGCGAGCTGGCGGCCACTTCCCAGCCAGTTCACTCGACGTGCAGACGTGAGGGGATCGAAGACCGAATTGTCTGCATACGCGAGCGCGACATTGTCATGCGAGTTGGCGGAACCGGCCTCTTCTCCAGCTTCTGGCTGAAGGGCGCGTTCAGGGCGGCAGTAGACCGTCAAGCTGTCGATGTCGGACGGAGGGAGTCCCGCAAGGATAAAGCGTAAGGTGGGCGAAGAGTCACGATGCCGCTTGTCATGCGCCTCTCGGACGACAGTGAGCCCAAAGGCAGTGTTGCGTGCGATGCTTGTTGCTGACAACGAATCGTCAGTTAGCGGTATGGCGCGCCCCTGTACAGCTGCAGCCACTGTAGTCTGACAGTGCCGCCTGATGGGATCTTCCGCAATCGGTGCTCCACGTTCATCGATGTATACGTGTGCAAATCCACCGCCCTCTTCCGAAGACCCGACGAGTAGCCCACTGAGCTTTGCCGAAGCCGTGGTTAGATCGTCTGCCACTTCGCCAACATCTGCACTCTGGAGGTCAAGGATGAGGTGCGCGCGATTCAACGGTGGACAGCTGATGCGAGAGACGAGTGTGTTCCATGATCGTGGCCCGAATGAGCGAACTGAGAGTTGCTTCAGATGAGCGAAGTTCGCGCGGCAGCCATTGGATGAGCCTTGTTCCAGCATGTATCGTATGTCAAGTTTAAGCCGCTCCAGCGAGGGTAGACCGGCAAGTACGCCCAAGAGATCGGACAGACTGATTTGGTACTCGGGAGCGATCTCATAGAGATACCTCATATCGTCGAACTGGAGGTTCAGGTCTCGAAGCGCCTGTGGTAACACGCACGATGCTTTGAGCGGGAAGTTGCGGAGGCGCAGAGTATTGAGTCTCGGAGTGGGTAGCTCGATCCAGTCTGCCAGAGGCTCCCGGGCGCGAGCAGCGCAGACTTCCAGAGCTTTCAGAGCAGACATCGCCGGCCTGTGATTGATCACATTCGAGGAGTTCATCTGCGTGTAGAAGTCCGCAGGGTAGAAGCAGGACAGCTTCAAAGAGTTCAATCGATCCTGTTCGGCGCCAAGCAAGTCCCATACCTCCGAGTCTGGGAGCTTCTCGAAGGTAAGGGTCAGCGCCGCTCTCCCAGAGAGGCGTATGGCGCGCTTTAGCGATGACGTCTGGCACGTCAAAGTGGCAGGGACTGTAGCCCAAGACGATCGAGAGAGGAGAATGGCTTCGCTCCAGGCCCTGTTGACGAGCCGCAGATCCAGCATGGACTGGACAGCAGCCAGAGCGCGAGCGCGCTCTTCCTCGGAAGACGTAATGTTCTGAGAGAGAAGGACGTCGTATAAGCCAGAGCTATCCTTGACGTGGGAGATGATGACGAGGACGACGTCTAACGATGTGCCGTAAGTACAGGACAATGTCAGATAAGTCTTGACACGTACCGAGAACAGACATGGCGTTCCTGCTGGCGAAGTTCGGGGGAACAGAAGCTATGCAGGTACCAATCAGGGAACGCGACGATCAAGAGATGTAAAGGATCTACGCACCATAAACCGAATCCGCATTGTCAGAAAGATCCGCGGAGGGGTAGGATCCATTCACCCTCACCCTCTTGACCGGTCGTCGTTCGTTACAATCGGTCATGGGTGATCAGGTGAACAGAAAGAAGGGAGGACGAGATGAGCAAAGGATGACGAGGCGCTGGTACTGCTGTCAGCAGCGTACGACCCGATGTACAAGGAACTTGACAGGTGGGCTTGACCATCGACTAGGCTTTTTATACGATCCAGCCGCCCATCGCTGGAGCAGGGGTGGCGAAGAGGGAGTTGTATTGTCTACATCCAGGGACCATGTAACTCATTGTTCGAAGTCGCAGAAGAACGATATCGCCTGCGTAGCCCGTGCTTGTGGTCCGCAATCACAATGGAGGCAGACGAACCACGAGGCATGCTTGTCCCAACGTGGAATGCAGCTTGGGGCAAACGCCGAAGGAAATCGCTCGAGACCAGATGTGAATAGAGTGATTGGCGGGGTCGGACTGGTACATTATGCCGCCCAGATCATGCAGATGGCGCAGTGTTCGTCTTAGAAGACATACCGTACCGACGGTACAGCGACCCCAAAACGGAGGTTCAAGAAGATTGAGGTTCAAGGATAAACCACAGAGCATGTCGAGGCGAATGATTGGGCATCGAAACCGCGATCTGCTCGGGCCGCCCCGGTCTCGCGTGGCAAAAGCTGGCTGCTATTGTCTATCCTTTCAATTGTCGCCGCCGACATGCGTATATAAGAGGCGGGCTACGCCAGATAGTCAGCACCGTCTCACTCCCCCACATGTTGCGCTACCTTGTCATTCCTGCACTTCTCTCTTTTAGGGGTCTGAGGCGAAGGCCGCAGTGGAAGCTGGAATGCCCAACGCGGAAGCCCGGCGTTCTCCTCGGACCTGGCTCGATCTACAGTCCTCTGCCGGGCCCCCTTTCCTTTATGGCGCTACGTGAGTCCACGCGATCCGTGAAGCTTGTGGAAACACGGGTGGAATAGATAGTGTGGCTTGCTTAAGGTCGTTCGGTGGAGTCCTGCAAGAAGAGTCGTTTCATGCTCCTTTTTCTCCTTCTCCTCAACACTGCACCCCCCTCTCTCCTCTCCTGCCTTTGTCATACTTCGCGAGAGGACCCTGTTGGGTCGTTATCGTGCGTCAGCAGCAGCTGGTGAGCGGCTTGCCTCGGCGATTCGCTCCCTCACGAATGCTGCCAATTTTTTCCCATATCTCGTTTCGTACGAGGAGAACGTGGTGCAGGGTCGGTTCAGGTTCCGAGATCGGCCGTGTACAGATCGTGAGCTACGATATCGAGTGTATTTGTCTATGAGCTAGTGCTTTCCTACTCCAAGGCGGCCTGTGTATGCGTCTCGTAGAATGTACCTCTAAATCGGGCTGATTGTGATTGTGAACCAATCGCAGTTCTCCCAATTTACTTCAAAACCTAAGAACAACATTAGACTGATGTATGTCAATGGGTGCCAGAATGTTACTTCAGCCTGGCGCCGGAAGCATGGATGCGGCAGAGAGTGATTTGGGAATAAGGAACGAGGCGCGTCGCGCATTCAAGTTTATGAATTTCCTTGGCGGTTCGGCGATTGCCGTGATGCGCATCGTCACGCTGTACCAGGCTGAAGCGCTAAGAATGTTTGTCGCGTTCTCGCCACATCTTGTCGAGGCATGCGAACAACGAGCAGAAAAGTTATCACGGGGGCATCTCTTAGTGCGCCGTCCTCAGTCTAACGACGTCGTGCACAATGATGCTGCTGCGTGCAGTACAGAGCGAGGACAAGAGTCATCAAACAGTATGCATATAGATTTGAGGGTAGCGGAAAAATTAATGTTCATGAGGAGAGGAGAGGAAACAAACGAGGCAGAAGAACAGAGGGTGTATAAGTGAAGGGAACGGGGGACGGTATGCGGAAACTCGCGTTCCTTTGAGACGCAAGACAAGATCATAGCCATGAGAGAGATTAGAATGCACATAGCCATAACTATATTACGCGTTCCCCAACAGTTTCAAGAAGTGTATCGAACATTTGCGCGATGTTCGCAACTGTCTCAGGAAGCAGCCGTGGCGCCCTCCACGCCAATCTCCTCATCCTCCTCGCATGAGGCTTAAGAAAGCCTTGTACATCAACCGCTTGACGCGCCTTCTCCTGACGTAGCTCAATAGCCTTCTCCAGCCGAATGTTGTATTCGGCGTTGGGAGGAATATCGTGAGGTAGGTAGTTCAGAGACGGAAATGATCCCGCCTGACGTAAGAGGTTCGCCAGCTGGTGGCCGTTGCCTAACCAGTTCACTCGGCGGGCCGAGAAGAGGCGCTCGAAGATCGACATGTCCGCATACGCAAGTACAGACTCGTTGCTTCCAGCCTCTTCTCCATCATCTGGTTCAACAGCTAGACCAGGACGGCAGTAAACCGTCAAGCTATCGAGATCGGTCGAGGGGAGTCCGGCCAAGATAAGGCGTAGGACGAGTGATGGATCACGATATAGTTCGTCAAGAGCGGGTCGAGTCACTGTAAGGGCAAAGGCGGCCGTGGACGCGATGCTCGTCGTTGATAGCGTGTCGTCGGTTAACGGGAGGGCACGCTCTCGGGCGGCTGCGGCAACCGTACACTGACATCGCCGCCAGTAGTCGGGAGGCCCGATCGGATGTCCGCGTTCATCCACGTATATGTGGCCGAGCTCGATAACGTCCACGTCCCCAGCCTGAGACGTAGGGAGCAGTGCACTGAGTTTCCGCGAGGCCGCAGTGAGATCATCCGCAACTTCCCCGACGTCTGCACTCGGCAGGTCAACGATGAGATGCGCGCGTTCCAACGGCGGGCACGTGATGTGCGAAATAACAGCGTTGAAGTCCCGTGGAGAACGTGAGCGCACTGAGAGCTGCTTCAGAGAGGAAAGGTCCGCGTGGCCTTCGTTCGATGAGCCGTCATCCAGCATGTATCGGATATCAAGCTTCAGCCGCTCTAGCGCAGACAGACCGGCAAGGACGCCTGACAGATCGGAAAAAGTCATCCGATCCTCGAGCATGCTCTCACGAAGGATCGTTAAGTCAGAGAAGTGTAACGTGAGTTCTCGTAGAGCCTTCGGCAGTACGCACGATGCCGCGAACACGAAGTTGGTGAGGTGCAGAATGTCAAGCCGGGGGGTGGGAGGCTCCATCCAAGCCCTAGAAGGCATCGCGAAGGAACCAGCGCGGATCTCCAAAGCTCTCACAGCCGCCAAAGTTGACCAATGACTATGGGCATCGGGAGAATCCGTATGCGCAAAAAAGTGAGCGGGTGTGTCGCAGGCTAGTCTTAGGGAATGGAGTCTACCCTTCTCGGTGTCGAGTAATTCCCAGATTTCCGGATCTGGCAGTTCGCTGAACGTGAGCGCCAGCGGTGCCTTCCCCGAAAGGCGTATACAGCGCCTCAGGAACGATTTCTGGTGCGTCAAGGTGGCGGGGATGACTGCCCAAGAAGACCGAGAAAGTAGAATGGCCTCCGACCAGACCCTATTGACGAGCCTGAGGTCGAGAATAGATTGGACGGTGGTCCAAGCGCGAGCGCGTTCGGCCTCGAGGGAATTGAATGCCCGGGAAGAAAGGATGCCGTCCAAGCCATGTATATCCTTCACGTATGATATGATGACGAGCACGATGTCTACCATCGGACGTTAGCTCGGGATGAACATGCTTTGGGCGAAAGATGATCCATTGCGGCGTACCAATCACAGACATGATGTTCTTGCTTGGATCTGGTGGGCCAATCGCTGCTTAAAGCTTTGATTAGTCGACCACAATACCGTAGTAGATGTCCACGTACCGTGAGTTGAACATTGAAGAGAGCTTCCGCCCTGGAGGTCGGGTAAGGTAGCAGATCCGTCCGCCGAATCCTCTTCCACCTTCGCCCTCTTGGCCGGTCGTTCGTCGTCAAGTTTCGACATTGATGAGAGGTTCAGAGGTAGCACGGGAAGAAATGGAGATGATACGGAAGTTGAAGGACGCGGATGCAGGCCGACGGTCAACCACCGTCCATTTATACAGTGCAGCCACCCAGCGCCCAAGTGGGGAAGCGTCCCGCACACTTCATTGTCTGTACGCAGATAACATACAGTCCATTGTCTGACACTGTGGTCGAAGCGAGAGTCTAAACGACCGCTGTGGGCGGAGCAACTTGTGGATTTCGACAATGTATGGCCGAGGGATAGACCACGAGGCGTGCCGGCCTCTACTTGCGACCACCTTGATACGTTGATAACCATATGACTAAGACAATAGCAAGAGCGACCTCTACCAGGATAAGTGTGATCGATCCGGTGGTGCAGATAATGGCACTCACTGCCCAAGACAGGGTCGACTATACGCCACTTGCCCCTGGAACTGTCGACCCGCAACCACGCGCAGGGCGGGTGAAGGAGCCATGGAGAGTCTTGAGGACCACATAATGATACAGGGACCAAGTGCCCAGATTCAAGCGTCAAGTGGCGGAAACCATCTTCAATTGTCCCCTTTTCGGCCGTCGCCGGAGACTCTCACATATAAGCCAGGTGCTGACAACACCAATAGTTCACTCACATCCCATGCTCCCTGTGTCCCCCCCACTTCCCCCCTTCGTCTTACTGCTTGGGTCGGAGCGAATGCCGCGGTGGAAGTATGATTTAAGTCGCGGACGCCCGGTGTTCGCTTTAGGCTCGGCTCGATCTACAGTCCTCTACCGGGCCCCCTTCCTTTATGGCGCTACGTGAGTCCGTGTGATCTGGGAAGTTGGTGGCAACACCGGTGGAACAGAGAGTGCGGCTTGCTCAAGGTCGTTCGGTGGAGGCTGCAAGAAGGGTCGTTTTATGTTCCTTTACCTTCCTCCTTACGTAGCCACCTGCACCTTCGCCCCCCTCTCCTCTTCCCGCTTTGTCGTACTGCACGAGAGGACCCTTTGGGGTCGTTATCGTGCACCAGCAGCAGCTGGTGAGCGGCTTGCCTCGGCGAATCGCTCCCACTCGGATGCTGCCAATTTTTTGCTCCCGTACCTCGTTTCGTACGAGCACGTATCGTGTGCGCGATACTAGGTGGACGACCTGCTCAGTTAAGCTCAGTTATGAGCCTGATATTTTGGTGTAGTGGCTACTCTTTCGATAGCGTGTTCCTGTTCATAGGCGAATTATTGTATGCCAGTTGTAGATCGCGTGTCGTACAGATGTCAGGCGGACCATGGAGCCATGTTCATCGATCTTTCAGGGCTCAAGTACGCTCGAACAGTTCAGACAATTGACCGAATGGGTATCATGAATGCAAGAAACGGAGTGATGGTTTGTCCGGCGCAAGTGTGGACGCAGTAGAAGTGGATTAGGAACAAGTGGCAGACACCTGGGACACCACGCGCGTCTCTTTTGTTCTTCGGCCGTTGCCGTGATGTCACTGATACGTGCATATAAAGAAGACGTTCTGCACCACCTACGACTACTTTCCTTTCCCCCTCTCTCCATTCTGCATAGGGCCTACAGTAGGCGGCGGCGTGAAAGGTAGACCACCATATCCCGGAAGCCCGTCGTCCTGCTGCAGGCTCGGCTCGATCTACAGCTCGCACCCGTGAAGCTGCCGAGGAGTTCCGAAGCCGTGAAATATGAATGTATTGTCACGGGTTAGTACGTTCTACCTCTGAAGAGTCATCTGGGTGCGGGGCTCCCAGAAGGGTCGTTTTATTTCACTTTCGTAGGGTAGGGGGACGAACGTCGTGGGAGAAGTTTGATTGCTAGTCGCGGACACCCGGCGTTCTCCCTCGACCTGGCTCGATCTGCAGTACTCTGCCGGGCCACCTTCCTTTCATGGCGTTGCGTGAGTCCGCGCAATCTGCGAAGCTGGTGGCAACACGGGTGGAACGGGGAGTGCGGCTTGCTCGAGGTCGTTCGGCAGAGGCTGCAAGAAGAGTCGTTTATCTCTTCTCTTTCCTTCCTCCTGCTTCCCTATCTCCTTGCTCCTCTGCGCAGTACGAGATACCTCTGATGGAGCTCTCGCGTACAGCAACAGTTTGTGGATGTCTTTCTTCGGCGAGGCATCTCAATGTTGCCAATTTTTTGGATGCAATCTCGCTTCGCGCGAGTACATACGTATTTCCGGTCGATATCGTGAACCAGACGCTCCTCTTGAATGAAAACTATCTTGAATGAAAAAAGTATACCATGAGACGTGGAGTTCAAACGAAAGAGCCTGTGGATCCCAAAGGCAATGTCGTGTATAGTCGTTTGCCGTCGCAACTCGCGCTGAATCAACTATATTCAGAGTGAACTTGAAAACGAAGACTCAATGTGAGTATGAAAGGAGCTCCGCGCAAGACTATCAAGTTTGAAGGAAGAATGAACGCGGCCGAGAGGACCCCATGCACGCGGTTTGGGAACAAAGAACGAAAGCCACAACGCGTCTCTTTCGCCCTTCGGCCGTTGCCGCAACGCGCGCATATAAAGACAACGCTCTGCGCCACCGACACTCACCTTTCCTTCTCCCCTGTATGCCCCCGCAGCATACTTCTCCCTTCTTCTTCGACTCTACAGTAGGCGATTGGGGAACGACGACGGGATTAGTCGACTTTCGGTCCTACCCGCCCGTCGATCCCGAAGAGCCGTCTCGATCTACAGTCCTCAACCGCGCGACCTGCCGTAGGCGGCATGAGCCCTGGAACGCATGGAGCCCTCAAAGTTCAAGCCACGCTCCAGCCGAATAGGGCAACACGGTCGTCCCTAAGGGTCGCGCGGCGACTGCAAGAAGAGATGTTTCCTTCCATCTTCCATCTTCATCTTCGTACGGGGCTGTGGCGACCGGCGCGGGGGAAGCGGCAATTTCGTGTAGCGGACGCCCGTCGCTCGCTGCAGCTTCGGCTCTATCTACAGCATCGCACTCGTGTTGCCTGCCGTGTACTGGCCGGAACCCGTGCTCTGTAGCAACGCGGGCCTGTGCAAGAGGTAAAAAGTAGGGTTCAGTCGTTTAGGGCTCCACGAGCGTGACTGCAAGAGGAGTAGTTTGATTCAGTGGGCATGCAGCCGCGGCGACGTGGAAGGTAGACCACCATATCCTGGAAGCTCGTTAGCTTGCTGTAGGCCCGGCTCGATCTGCAGTCCGCATCCAGGTAGCCCGCGTTGACGCTCCCGAAACCCGTTCAGACAGAATCGATGTATGAGATCGATCAAGTTCCCGGGAAAGTAAGGCCGCCACTGGGGGTTTCTTGTGGCGTGGGGCTGTCAGAAGGGTTGTTTTCATCTGCTCTTATGAATAGGGTGTACAGCGACGGCGACGTGGAAGGTCGATCACCACATCCTGGAAGCCCGTCCGTTCGCTGTAGGCTCGGCTCGATCTATAGCTCGCACCTGGGTGGCCTGCGTTGACGTCCCCGAAACTCGTCTAGACAGCATCGGCGTTCGGGCCGGTCAAGTTCCCGGGAAAGTAGGGTCGCCACTAGAGGTCTCTCGGGCGCGGGGCTGTCAGAAGGGTCGTTTATGAGTACTGTATGATACGTAGGCGCTCTGTTGAGACGCTGAGAATTTTTGGATATCGCGACTCGCTTCGCGCGAGTATATAATTATATATGCATTCTACACCTTTGATAGGAATCAGCTGTATGATATTGAACATGATTAGACAATACCATTGTCATCCACGGTTCTGTGCATGCAGAGGGCGTAAAAGCGACTGTCAGAGAGCCCCAGAGCCGACCCTAACCTCAAACCACGACTGGAAATTGATCAATCGTCAGATCCCGGAACGTCGTCCGTCGTCAAGCCAGAACGACAATTCGCTCGACGTAAAACCAGAATGCACATGTGTTCGCGTATTTGGTACTGATACTGTAAGTAGATAGGTAGATTTGATATCGAGAGCTGCGGGAGCACCCCGCGTTGAACAAGCCCAAGAGTAAAAGAAGGAGCAAGCTGAAGCAAGAGAGAAAGGCCGTAAAAGTATACGTAGATCGTGATAGGGATAAGCATGGAATAGGGTGGAAAAGGTACAAGAAACAAGAACGGGAGGGAGGGTCGTCAGATCGAGATCGAGACGGGGAAAGGGGGAAGGGAATGGGCATAAACGATACGATGAAAGAACACAAGAAAAAAGTAAGGCTTTGGGTTGTGTGAGGAGAGTAACGCGGAGATTGTGGGAGTGAGATTGAGATGCAAGAAAGATAGAGAGGGCGGATAGTATGAAGGGGGTACGCGGCGGATTGTAGGAGTAGTGTGTATCGCAGTGTGTTGTGTGTAGTCGTGTGGGACTGGAGTCGTCATCGCAGGCGGGCGGACGGAGGAACCGAGAACGAGCGCGAGTCGCGTCGAGAGTATCACCAAACAAGATGGCCATGGGAGGTATGGGACGAATTAGACCTCGGCGGTCCACTCCTCCCCGCTACGCGAGCGGGAACGCGAAACTGACTGAGAGGAAGCCTTCTTGACGTAGGACGTCGAGCGGACCATGCCATCCCTGTACGAAGCCTTCGAAGACCCATTCCGAGCGATCTTCTTAGCCTTCGGCGTAGGCTCGTCCTCGCCATCACTGTGCGCCTCCGGGGCGACAGTGTCCGAAGTGGGCGCCGCGACCGTCGCATCGTCCTCCTCTTCATCATGGTGCGAACGAGAACGCGAACGCGAAGCCTGGCGCTTCTCGACGACAGGCGCCTCGTCATCGCTGTCATGCGCACGCGCCACAGCGCCCTCGCCCCGGGCCTTCGCGAACTCCTTGACAAGCGCCAGGCGCGGCATCGGCTTTCCCGCGCCCTCTTCGTCCTCACTATCCCACGGGTCCGGGCTCGCCGCGCGCTTTTCCTTGTCAGATTGCGGAACAAGCTTGCTAGAAGCGCTGCGGCTCCGCGGCTTGAACAGCCTGCGGGGCGCGCACATCTCGCTGGGGGAGTAGTCGGGGTGGCGCGGGCTGAGCGTCGCGCGCGGGTCGGGCTGCGCGCCGTAGAACGGGTTCGCGAAGATCTGCTTCTTGCCGCGGCTGTGTGGTTTCCCGAAAAAGGAGCGTTAGTCATGTGATGTTGCGAACCACAGGCGAGCAAATGGGTACTGACAATACGTAGGTCATAGTGGGGAGTTCCGGCAGGGGCGTCTTGGGGCCCAGAGGGGAGGAGGGCACTTCGACGTCGGATTCGGCATCCGAGTCGGCCGCGGCGTCGGCCGGGAGGGCGACGAGGAAGGGGTTGTTCGGGCTATCGCGGACGGGGTGGATATCCTTGTCTTTGCCCTTCGCCGCCTCCTTGTCCTTGGAGAATGTACGGCGAGGCGGGGTCACGGGATCGCGGGGGCGGGTGGGCGGTGGCGACAGGAGCGTCGACGCCGCGGCCCGGCGCGATGCCGTGTCCGTCACTTTCGGCGGCGACTTTGAGCGCGTCGTGCTCCGGCGCTTGCCCTGCGCTGCCGCACGGCGCTTCTTTGGTGCTGGGCGCTTAGGGCCCCAGAACTCTTCCTCCTCCGTCTCGTCGCCGCCGCTGGCCACCGCCTTGCCCGCCTCGTCGATTCTCCGCTTCTTCTTCGATGGCTCGGGCGATAACGGGCGCGGCAGCTCGTCCTCCGCGGTCGCATCTTCGTCATCGGAATAGACGGAAGAGCGCGAGCCTGTGCGGGGCCGTTTGCGGATTGTGCTGGGAGGGGTGGGGAGCGATTCCGAGGCGACGCTGTGGCTCCTGCGCAGCGACGACGGCTTGCCGGGGTTCACGAGCGGAAATACGCTCGTAGTCTCGGCAGACATTGTTGAATATTAGATCGGTGAGAGAGTGGAAGGCAAGTCGGATGAAGAGAGAGAGAGAGGAAAGGGTGAGGGTGGGAGGAGATGTGGTGGGAGGAGCGAAAGCGACGTCGCGTGGGTCGCGGCGCTTGTTCAACCGTGCACGTGGCTTATGTAACCATCTGATTGTTCTCGATTTGCCCACGCTCGGCCCTCGCGTCGATGGCCAGCGCTTGGACCTCGACGTGCACGTACCGCACAGTATTGTGGTGATCGAACCGCTAGGCTCAAACGAGGTTGCACGGCCCTCAAATTTCTCATACCGCTGCGCATGGCGTAAGGTCTCGGGTTGAACGGAATTTTTCACCGGCGAGACGACGGGCTGACTTGGCAAATGTTTAATGAGTCGCGCTCGAGGTAAGTACATGGCTCATAGCTATATCGGCGTCTTGATCCTGAGCGGATCTTACTCTTAACCTTCAAGTAGGGTAATTGCAGGCGTCTGTACACGACTCCGATCGCCCCTTAGCAAATTCGTGGGCGAGGAGTTCAGTTGACCCGCAACTGGTGTGTCGCAACAGCCCATGCGCGTCATTTGTGATTTGCACTCCCGTGCGCGCAAATCTAGAGCTCGCTATGCACATATAATTACTCTCGTCAGCTCTCTCGTCCAAGATATTTCAGAACGAAACAGGGGCATTCTGACTGCTCCTGTGTACCGTCTGGATACTTAGACCATACTTCGGATCATCGGGCCGGTACGCCCGAGACTCAACAATGACAGCGAAGTGGCTGTAGTGGTTGCTCTCGACCCTCACGATCCACTGTGCCCGTCAACAGGGGTTGCATATAGAACGACTGATCGTCTGGCTGTTTTAATCTAGGAGACTAGTCCCGTGCTTTGGGTATCGCATCTTCAGCTGTAGAGAAACTATCAGCAACGACCTATAGACCCAGAGTCCGCGTGCCATCGTCGAGGAGCCTGCTCTCGAGCCCCTAATCACCCCCACCCTCACCCCTCGACGCCACTCCAGCCTTACGATGCCCTCCGCATCTAAACCCGACTTGCCTCCGCGGAGAAGTGCGTTCTTTGCAACACCGGCTGGGGTCAAAGTGGCTGACTTCGTACGCATACAGAAGACTACTGTTCTCTATGCAAAGATACCTCTGCCAAGCTCATGACCTGTAAAGACGTGAGTGTGTGTAGTATATGGAGTGTCAGTATGATGCTCATCACTTCTGTTGGTTTACAGTGCAAATCCATCAAATACTGTAGCGTCACAGTGAGTGCATGCACGAACAGCGCTGTAATCGACTCGAACGGCTGACGTGAGGGGCACGTAGTGTCAGAGATTGGATTGGTACGCCCTTCACCGTCATCTGACCATCGTCTAGCTCAACTCGCGTTTAGGAAGAGCCATAAGCCGCGGTGTGCGCAAACCGTTCAACTTCACGCCGAGTGGCCGAGCCGCACGAGGGTTACGATGGATCTCGTCCGACGGGCCCGGCTATGCTCGGTCGAATGGTGGCTACAGATACTCGCCGTTGCTCAACTCGATCTTATGGACCATCCGGAGCGAGCCTCAACACATGCACTTTTGCTTCGCTGGGAAATAGCTCCAGTCATGTCACCTCGCGAATACTCCAAGCACATCTCGCCCCGCCCTCGCTTCAACACATCAGGCCAACGCCGTCACATGCTCTCGCTCACCCATTACACTATGCACGATCTCGATATGATGCAACAACTTGAGCATGTCGGAATAGCAGGGGCAACGGACTGGAAGAACTTCTGCGGACGGCGGCCACACGAGGCGGACATCTCTGCTGAACTCGACGAAGGAGAGCCTGATCCTATGCAGGTCGTTTGTGTCAATATGGTTGACCCGACATTCGTTGGAGACGGCTCGCCGGACGCTGTTTCTGTACGATCCTTCACCATACGCGTTGAGATGCTCCGGGAGGCGATGGAGATTCAGCAGCAGATGCTGCCTCAGAAGGGTTTGCCCGGAGAGAACTTGCAGACATTCTGCCTGAGGTGCGCCCTGAGCCGTAATTTGTCTTCGTCGTTGACTGCATGCTGATCTATGCGATGCCTTTCGCATTGCATAGACACATTAACGAGCTCATCATCCATGATGTTGAGAACAAGTGGAAGTTGCGTACCGTGCGTCCGATGCCCTTCAAAGCCCCGAACACTGCACTTACTCCGTCATTTCTACCCCCGCAGGCCCGACCGGCTGAAGAGACACCATGAGCGCGGATGACGTGACCTGTGTCATGATCTTAGAGCTACTCTACATAAGCCACTGCATTCTGAGACGCCGGCGTAACCCTCGCTGCCGAGGTACCAAGATTCGATCTTACTATTCTAGAATGCTTGCCTAAGTTCTCACGTCTTACTGCGTACGATCTATGAGGGATGTCTACGTTCTTAACACGGACATGTTGAGCAAACTGTGAATCGGGACCGACCTATGGACGGCTTACGGTGCACGCTAGACTGCGCGAACTCTATGCCGACCGTGCGAAGTCAAGCTTGATCAATCGGCTGTCGTTGGTGACTCTCGACGTCTCCAACGACGGCAGAAGACTTTGTACCATATCGAGCATGTAATCTTGTCGACTCAGTCTTGACTCATATCTGTACTGTACACACATATCGAGATACACCAACATGACAGGGCTCCTTCATGTCGCATCAAACATCCGCTCCTTCCTTCACCGGGCTGTGTACACGCTTCGACGCGACCAACAGCTTCCATAGCTCCACGCAACCCACGAACACCAGCGTCATCCCGACGACAAGACCCCACTCCCAAGTGATTCCCTTCTGGTAAAAGACCTCGTCGTTTAGCCCCGGGATGTAGACGCACAGCGGCACCGACGCGATGGTCAGAACCACCGACCAGAATAGGATGCGGTTGTTCCAGATATCCTTGTAGAACGGCACGCCCGGTCGGATGCTGAACATACTGCGGTTCAGCGCCTTGAGCTCCCAAGCCTGAGTGTGATGATGAGAGGTGAGATCAAAAGAGATGGTGAACAAAACGCACATATAGGGAGATTTGTAGCGTCAGAGTTGCAAAAACGGTGGAGCGCGCTCGGAAGACTGCATCGCAAGAGTTGTTGACTTCGCGATTGCATTCCTCGCCAAGGAAGCCGTCGTTCTTGCCGTAGACGACAATGATAAAGCTCAGCAGGGTGGTCACGCCCATCACGAAGCCGTACTGAGAGGCAGTTGAGAAATCCGCGAAATATTAGAGGGCGAGAATTGGTGCATACCACGAATGTATCCACGAGCACGGCGCGGGTGAACACGCCTGACTTGACGCTGTGCGGCGGGCGGGTCATTACGTCCGCGGAAGCCGGTTCAACGCCTAAACCGAATGCGGGCGGTCCACCGGTGAGCATGTTGATCCACAGCACGGCCAAAGGGGAGAGCGGGTATACACTTTCAGACGCTTAGCGAAAGAATTAGATCATCTGCTAAACGAGGAACATGAACGCACTCACTATCATCTTGGAAAGCGAGACCGAAGACGAGTAGGACAACTTCGGCGATGTTGGTCGCAAGGAGATGCATGATGAAGCGTTGAATGTTGTCGAAGATGCGCCGGCCTTCGCTGATAGCAGCCCGGATAGAGTCAAAGTTGTCGTCTACATGTCGATGAGCCTCAGAAGCGACGAGGGGAGATGTAATGCGCACCAGTTAGTACGAGCTCGGAAGCGTTCTTCGCGACATCAGAGCCCTGACCCATAGCAATGCCTACCGGCGCGAGCTTCAGGGAAGGCGCATCTGCAAGAAGTGTTCAGCGTCCATTGAAAGAGCTACAGGGGTGGCTACATACCATTGACGCCATCACCGGTCATGGCAAGGTATTTCCCGCGGCGCTTTCCGGCCTGTATCATGCGCACCTTCGTCTGAAAGCGAGGTGAGCTCGCTACGGGAAGTTCAAGAGAGGAATACGCACGTCAGGGTCACAGCGGGCGATGACGAGAGGGAGCTCGGGGAGTGCATCGATCTGCTCGTCGCTGAGAGCGTTGAACTCGGCGGCAGGCATGACAGCGGAAGACGCCGAATCCGGACCGATGATCTCAATAGCGCGCGCAATGGCCGTTGCGGTGAACTGGTGATCTCCGGTCAACCTGGAGTGGGTTAGCGGCAATACATGACGATACAAGGGTTGGACATACATGTGAACGACGATACCGGCGCGCTTGCACGCTCGGACAGCGTGCACGGACTCCGGGCGCGGCGGGTCGTAGATGCCAGCAAGACCGATGAAGCAGTGGTTCGCCTCGACGTCATCGCGAGAAAGCTTCGCTTCGGATGAGAGATCGAGGGCTGAGCCTGGGCGCCGGGAAGCAAGAGCAAGGACGCGCAAGCCTTGAGCAGCGAGGCTCTCCATCTGTGAAAGAATATCCTTGCGCATGGCATCGGTGAGAGGGGCAGGCTCGGCTTCGGAGAATACATGCGTGCTTGCAGCGAGGACACGCTCGACCTGAGAATATGTCAGAAAGGTGGGGTCGATGAAGACGAGAGGGAGACGCACGCTGCCTTTGAGGAATACGACGACTCGGTCCTCTTCGCTCGCCTGCTGGTCGAGGTATATCACGGACATGCGCTTAGCGTTGCTGTCGAAGGGGAATTCCTCCTTCCAGACGAAGCGCTTCGAGTCCCGTGCCTTCTCTGATACTTCATCGCTATCGACTCCTGTCTTCGTCAACGTAGGGCGACCGTTGCCGGTCATGGTGGCCAAAACTTGCAGAGCAACCTGGGAAGAAGTGGTCAGTATGCTTCCCAGTAGTTACTGTAACTGTGCACGCACCTCTGTGGGATCGCCTGTAGAGACCCAACGTCCTTCCTTGTTTTTACCGACACTGAAAAGAGAGACGTCAGTCGTGGAAATAAGATATAAATGCCGTAACTCACGTCGCGACGTTGCAAAGGGATGCGCAGAGGATGAGCTCCCGAGCACGAGCATTGGACTCCACGTTCAGTATAGTTCTCTTCTCATCATCCGACCCGTCATCCAAGTAGACGTCTCCCGCGGGTTCGATCGCATCCCCTACGTTCTCGACGGCGTAAGCGGCGGGCGCGGATCCGGAATCCAGACCCGGCAGCCAAAACTTGCGAACGACCATCTTTCCTGCGGTGAGGGTACCCGTCTTGTCCGAGCATACGTCCGTGACTGAACCAAGTGCTGAGAGAAGTGTGAGAAAGCGATTGGGTCCACGCAAGCGCCGAGACGTACCTTCAAGTGCGTTTAGCTGTCGTACGACGACATGCGCCTTGGCCATGCGAGAGGTGCCGGTCGCCATTGTGATAGTGAGGATAGCGATAAGAGACTCGGGTATGACGGCGATGGCGAGGCTATACAACAGTCAGTGTGGCCAGTGAAGTGAGACAAGCGGAAGCCCGTACGCAATGGCGTAGATAGCAACTTCGTTGTTGACTTCGAACTGCACACACGTCAGCGCACTTGGCCCATAGAATAAGTTGCAGAACGCACTTTGGCTACTGCGAATACGATAATGAGAAGCACGGCGGCAAGCTAGGTAACATCTTGAGTAAGGACAACTTCGATAGCTGCAAGACGGAAACGCACCAGGAACAGGGCATAAGCGAGCTTGTTGAGCTTGATTTGCAAGGGCGTCCCGGTGCGCAGACCACTACAACGGTATCAGACGCGAAGGGTACAACGGATGGATGAGTACGCACAGGAAAGTCATGACGCCTTCGAAGATACGCTTCCACAACGGCAGGCCAGCGCGAGGGCTCGCTTTCTTCTTCTGCATCGACTCGGCAATATGTCCAATCTGGCTCTATGTGAGATTGGGCGGTACATGGATCTGAAGCTAGACCGACCTGCGTCTGCATTCCGGTACCGATGACTACTCCCGACCCACGACCGCGCGTTACAGTCGTGCTCGAGAAGGCCAGATTGACGCGATCGCCGACAGCAATTTGCTCGCGCGACTCGGGGCCAACACCCGGCGCAAGTGTCTTCTCACCCTCGGTGCTGAACGTCGGCACGCGGGGTAGACTGTGCGAAGGGTAGGTGCTTCCAAGAGGCTCGATGACCTTGGCTACGGGCATAGCCTCGCCAGTCAAGAGCGCTTCGTCGATCTCAAGGTTAGACACACTGCAGAACGTTGATCAGATAGAGATTCAAGGAATAGAGCAGGACGACGCACTGGAAGAGCCTTAGATCAGCCGGTACGACATCGCCCATCTTGACGTGCACGATGTCGCCGGGAACGACGTGAAGCGCCGGGATCTGCTTCGTCTCGCCCGCACGCGTGACAGCGGCGGTAGGACTAGCCAAAGAGCGGAGACTATCCATAGTCTTCTCCGCCTTGTATTCCTGAAAGAAGCCGATGCTCACGTTGAGGATGATTACGGCGGTGATGACGCCGCCTTCGATCCAGTCTTGTACGCCGTAGCCGATGGCCATGGCCGCAACAAGGACGAGGATAAGTGCATTCGCTAGATCATGGTCAACAATGCTGAGGGATGGGAGTTGAAGAGTGTAGCATACCCATTTGACGGAACAGAACCTTGAGAGCGCTTACCCCGCCTTCGCCTCGTAGGGAGTTCTCTCCATATCTGCGTGATGTAATGAGCTAAACGTCGCCAAAAAGGTAGGAATAGTACGTACTCGTCCAGCCTCGTCTGAGCGTCTGCATCAGATAATCCATCTTGCTTCGAAGTATTGAGCTGCCGGAGTATATCATCGACTTCCGTCCAATGTGCGGTATCCGTAAGCTTGAGTGCGGTCAAAGCCACGTCGTCGCGCGCGTTCGCCTGTGCAGTGCTAGCGCCAGCCGAGTTCGTATTCATTCAATAACGTAAGGAGCTCGTGACGAGAGATAATGTCCTAGCGAAACGTCGATAGGGCGATTCGGAAGGATTCGGGCCGTTACGCCTTGCGGCATGGGAGGCTTATATACCGTCTCGAGTGTATCGCTCGAGCCAAGAAACGAGTACGCATTCGAGGGCTCTATGATGAAAGCTAAGAGTCTGAAGCGGTGCTTGGATGTCTTGAGTGTGAGCCGTGGACGTGGGATGATATCCTTCCGGCGTAAAGCCAAGAAGAGCAGTGCTGCGGACTCTCTTGGGCTCAAGGAGTAAGTTTCTCGACTTCCCCTGGTCTGAGTCTGGACACGCATACGGGGTGCTGACTGATGTCGCAGACGATGATAATGAAGAAAGCCAAGATATTCGTGATGCGTACGCGTCAAGGTTGTGGCGAGAGCGAAGAGGCGAGAGGAGGCGAGCCAAGCCGCGTTGAGCACCTGACCGTGTCGCGAGACAAACACGCGTCAACACTCAACAGCGCGCGATGCCGCCGGCCAACGACCAGCTGGCTCATTCGCGTTGGTGACGACGACAATCTCTACGTAGTGATAAACGGCATTAGGATCTGAGAGGTCTCTTTTCTCTCAGAGCACGATCAAGGCTGCTCACAGTGGCAGAAACGACGTATGCCCTCGTTCCCCGTCGGTGCGACGTCCGGAATCTAGATCTTCCCTGTGCGCCAAGCCACAGTCATGCTCCTGTCGATGCCAGATGGTCTAGGATGTGTGGAGTACGATAAGCGTCGTCTTAGTGCCGTGTACCTTTTTCCAATAATACACCTCGTCTAAAGTGATGTGGCTCATTGCCGGTCTCAGAACCGCGGTGCCACAGCTACGAGATCGATCCTGAGTGCATGAGCACTGAGGCGCGACGAGGAGAGAGGCCACAGGATCATATTGGGAACGTATATATCGAGAGGATGAAATAGCAAAGAGGAGAGCATGCGATAGTCAGAGAGAAAGTCCGAGTCAAAGACGAGGAAGGGACAGGCTCTTTTGTGCCACAAAAAACGGCGAAGGAAATGAAGAACTTGATCGGGAAAGGCCAGCTAAGACTCGAAGTGTTGGGGACAGAGGATGGATGGCGATGAAGGGGAGGATGTGAAGGGAAGGAACGACATGCGATGGGTGGGATAACATACGCCAGTCAGATATAGATAACATGCCAAATGCCGAATTATGCGAGCGCAGATCATTGGGAGTCCATGAGGAGGATCAGAAAACGTGGTTGAGGGCAGGCGTGCACTGCATGGAATGAGGGGGACTGGGGTTGGTTGGTACATTTGAAAAGGGGTATACATACAAGACGATTGAAGTGTATGTATTTGAGCAAGCCGGGAATGTACGGGATATACGATATACGACACATTAAGGAGAACACGGGGTGGACTGGGTGCATAGCGCGGGCAGGGACAGGATGGGAGAGCGGATCCATGTGAGGACAGCGGGTGGGCAGAGCTGAGCAAGAGCAAGATGGGCAGATCGAGAGTGCGTGAGATGCATTTAGTAAGAGTCCGAAGAGCAAGCACAGAAGGAGAATCGAGAAGGAGAACGACGGCGCAGCGTTCACTGCTGCTGCTCTTCAGCAGCCTGAGCGGCGGCCTGCTGCGCGAGCTCGATCCTCCTCTCCTCCTCCTGCGCATGTACATCCTTCAACTCCTGAATCAGACGCTGCGACATGCATCAGCATCTACACTCCGGATAGAGAGCGAAAAAGATAGACTCACCAGCCCTTCGCGCTGCATCTGCGCCCTATCCATATCCGGCCCATACCTCGACCCCAGCTTCAACACATAATCCATAAGCTGCTCCATATAATACGGATTAATAACCGTCTCGTCCTCCGCCAACATATCCCTCAGCCTCGGCGCAGGCTTCTCAATCTCGATCACCCTCGCCTCGGGCTCAGCGAACGTCAACCACCCCTGCTCCAATAGCTCCGGAATCGTCGCGCGTTCTTTCGGCGTGCGGTTCAGGCAGGACTGCATGCAGACTATAACGTCTGACCGGACTTTGCGCGCGAGGTGCTCGAGGCGCACGACGGAGCCGTCCTGGCGGCGCTCGATGGGCACGGAATGTGTGGCAAAGTCGATCTCGATTTTCGGGTCCGGGATAGCTTTCATCTTGACGAGCGGCTTGGCGAAACGGTGGAAGGGCGGGAGGCCGTATATCATCTGGTACAGGATACAACCCAGACTCCAGATATCGCTCGGCCGTCCGACTTTGAGCCTTCGCATCCCGTCCGGAACTTCGATAGCCTCGGGCGACATGTAGTTGACCGTGCCGATCTGGTGGTCGCGCTGGATGTTGGTAGTATCGGCCGCGATGGCGTTGGCGATGCCGAAATCGATGAGCTTGAGCTGGCCGCGGACGAGTACGAAGTTCGCGGGTTTCAAGTCGGAGTGCACGATCTTCTGCTCGTGGACGACGTGTACGGCTTCGAGCATCTGTTGCCAGTAATCCGCGACTTTGATCATGTTCAGCGGTTTGCCGGCTGCCTCCGTCAATAGCTTTGCGAGGTCGACCTCTCCACATTCCAGGACCATATTCAAGTACGACTTGGGACCTTGAACGACCTCCGAGTCGTACAACCGGATGATGCGTTTATGCCCCTCTAAACGTTGCAAGAGACGGATCTCGTTCATGTATCCCGCGATCGTCTCGGGGTCGGCTTGGTCTAGCGCAACACGTTTGATAGCGAGGATTTCGTTGTTGGCCGTCAAAGCGCGGAAGACGCGTGAGGAACCGCCCTTGCCGAGGAGGTTGAGTCTGGCGTAGGCTTTGTTGTTTACCTGGGAGTGTAGAGTGTGAGTAAGGACAGGTGTCGATGTGGAGAAGAATACATACGATGATGTTCGCGTTGCGTTGGCTCTGGTGCATCATCTGAGGTGCCAGTGGAGCTGGACGAGCGGCGGCAGGTACGGCAGTGGCCGGTCGAGGAGGCGGCGCAGCTGCGGGCATAGGCGCGGATACAGGAGCTGGCTGAACGGGAACTGGAGCAGAGGGCCATTCCACCTTCTCGTTGCCGGCCCATGTCTGCGCAGGCGGAGGACCAGATTCAGACGGCGCGAGCGTGGTACTACCGGTGGAAGGCTCAGGAGCAGTGGGACTACGCCTGTGCCTGCCATTGGCGAGAGAGGAAGCGCCCGGCGATAGCCGAGGCGGTAACGCCACACCCGCTGTAGGCGAGTCTAACGGTGGTGGGCTTGGGAAGCGTGGCGGTGGGCTTGGCGGTGGCGGCGAAGGGATATGTGTACGCAGAGAGGACGAAGAAGACGCAGATACACGGATGGCCGGTGCGCTACCAACGACGCTGCCATTGAGATGCCTGACAGTATCCGAACCGCGACGGGCATGCGAAGGTCTGAATTCGTCAGAGCCAGAGCGCCTATCCCGCAGTGATGGCGAAGGTTCGCGTTCTTCTGAGAAGCGATTTGAGTATTTGGATGACGTGCATCACTGAATCAGACACGTACGATAGCGTTCGCGTTCGCGCTCTCGCTCAGATTCGGAGGCTGTATCTTCTGCTGCGGCTGGGACAATGAGCATCGAATCATTGTAAAGAGCTGACAATGGCATACCCAGTTCCCTCCTGTACCTGCTCTCCAGTGCAGCTCTTGCCACTCGATTACTGGCGCTCGATCCGGGTCGAATAGGCTCGTTAGATCGATACCTGGGTGGCTCAGGCGAAGGTCCCTCGCTGACACTGGCTGAGCGCCTATAACGCGTCCCAGCTTGCGGGCGCTCTGCGAGACTGAGCGCGCCAATATCCGGCACATCATTCTCCGGATATTCGTTGCTGGTCCTCTCGCGCTCCCTTTCCCTCTCGGCCGCCCTCTCGCGCTCCCTCTCCCGCGCCTCGATTGCCGCCTGATCCCGCACCACCGGCGCCACCCGCCTCGCCACGCGCACCGGCATTGGATTCGTCTGTCTAGACGCCCGCTCGCGTTCGCGTTGCTGCTGCGCCACGAGCGCGTTGGCCGGTTTAGCGCCCCCACCCAGACTGCGCGAATACAAATGTGATTCGGAGCTCATGGGTGGTGCCGAGCGTGGCGGGAGCGTGCGGCGCTTGAGACTGCCAACACCAGTGGTACCCTGGTGCTCGTTATTGTCGTCCATATTCTCCTTCTCTTCATGTATAGGATCGGCAGGCACATGCGTCTGCAACCGCTCGAGCTCGTGCCGGCGGTAGTCTTCGCTCGCGGACGGCCGGCGCGGGAGGCCGGTGGCCAAGCTCGACACCAGCCGCGCGCCGGGCGTGACAGTCGGAATCGGGCCGGACGTCGTCCTGGCGAACGAGCGCGCGGGATTTGCCGGCGTCGTGCTCGTGCTGGGCTTGAGGTCCGGTCCCGGCAGCGACTCTGAGCGGCCGAGTGATTGGCGCCGTGGCTGGAAGGGCGGGCTCGGGCTGGGGCTGTCTTCGGGCGTGGCGGCGCGTGGGACTTCAGGCGGCGTCAAGGGCGTGTTGCTGCGACCCAAGGAGACGCGGACGACGTTGCCGTCGGCGTCGGTGACGTATTTGAAGCTGAGGTCGTATCGATCGTCGTCGGACGCGACGCTCGAGACCGATGCGCTGCGTTTCAGACTGCTGTACCCCGGTGCGGGCGGTGGCGTCGTGCTCATCGTAAAGGGAGAGCTACTCGATCGTGGTTGTGGTCGACCGGGAAGAAAGGAACGCGGGTCCTACGGCAACACGCGCTCGACATGCCGCGAGGCGCGCTCAAGCTCGAACTACACGTGACCGCAAAATAGGCTCTTGTTGGACCTTGTGGGTGATGGTTAAGCGCTTGAATTAACTCTACGATATTTATTTCTAAATCTACATGGGAATGTTCATTACACGTTGTTGCGTTAGTTTGTACAGATACATTTACAGTCGTTCACGAGAGCTCAGCACGATTCTGCACCCCAGCTCGTGGTAGGTACATATAAATCGCCTCGATCGCCTTGTTCACACCATCCTCCTATACAAGCGTGAGCACAAGCGCGTAGAGCAACAGAGTCAAGACCTACCGCTCGTATCCTCTCTCCAACACTCGCTGCCTTCTCCTTCATAACCCTATCTGTGGTCGCCTTCACGAGCGCATCCGCCAACTCCGCCGTCCTCGCACTATTGATCCTCAGCCCCGCACCCAGCTTCTGCACCCGACTCGCCCAGAAGAACTGGTCTCCAAACCACGGTCTAATGAGCGTCGGCACTCCCGCTCTGAGCGATGCACCGGTCGTGCCGGCGCCACCGTGGTGAACCGCGACATCGCACTGAGGGAACAACCAATCGTGGGGTACTTTGTCCAGGACGTAGCACTGTTCAGGGTACTCGACCTCCTCGACCTCCGCACCAGGTTTCGCCATACGCGCCGACCACCCGCGCGAGACGATAGCGCGCACATCAGCCTTAACGACCGCAGCGATAATGTTCTTGCTGAGCGCCACAGGATCCGGCACGACGATGCTCCCGAACCCGATATACGCCAACGGTCGTCCGTCCTTCTTCGCCTTCTCCATAAACTTCAACAATCCCTCCGGCGGCGTCCAATCCAGGTCAGGGTTGTCGAGGAACCAGTAACCTGAAAGCGTCGTCGCGTCTCCCCAGTCTAGCGGTTTCGGTACGACTGCGGGAGAGAAGTTGTAGATGAACGGGATCTTGCTCTGCGCGAGATGCCCCATGTCCGTCGGCCCGATACCCATGGTTTGGACTCGCCACCTGTTGATCTGTCCAGATGTAGCCGCCCAAAAGACGTTATCGAACAACACATAACTCGCAGCGTTGAATGCGGGACTCTCGACGGGCGGACTGAGGAACGCGTGCGGGAACTCTCGCGTTTTCGTCCACGGCATCGTGAACGTCCGGAAGTAAGGTATCTTGAGCGCTTCAGCGATATGTACGCCCGCCATCGCGCTGGGAGACTCGAGGAGAACGTCCGCGTCCTTGCACTGGGTCCAGGCGTCTACTAGAAGGTCGTCGAGCCACGAACGGAAGTTGCCGAGCGACTCTTTGAAGAAGTGCGGGGAGAACATTTTGTTCTCTACGCTGAGCTTCATCAGGGCGCCTGGATCGCCGCCCGCCGTGCGATGTGCGATACCGAAGCCTTCGACCCAGGCTTTGTACTCTTCGTGCGTGACGATCGTCACGGTGTGCCCGTGTGCTTGCAAACCTTTGCCCAGGGCGATGTACGGCTGCACGTCGCCTCGCGAGCCGATGGTGAGGCAGACGAAGTGCATGCGCCGCACGTTGGGTATGCCGGGGAGGATGTTGATCGGCTTGGGAAAGTATGACTTGAGGGGATAGGGTACCGGTATACAGTCCGATTTCGGAAGCCGTGATGTGGGCGCTAGGATAGACGTGGTGCTTCGAAGGCTCTTGCCGCGCAAAGGAGGACGCTCGATGCCGGCACTCGACGGTTCGGATCCGTATTCGCTCGCAAGACCAGGAGAAGAGAGTGACAAGTAGTCGTCGGTACCTTCGGCGCTATCTCCGTGGAGACTAAGCGCCGGACTCGGCAGCGGACTCATACTCTGCGGACTCGTAGTAACCGCCCCATGCACCCTCCAACTCTCCAACCCCTGCTGTATCCTCATCAGCGCCTCATCCCTCTGCGCCGGCGTCCTGAACAAAAACCGCAGATCCGCTTGACCGCGCACAGTCAGCGTCAACGCCACATCTCCCCTCTTGAACGGCACAATCGGCGCAGAAACGTGCACGTCTTTGAGGATGGTGAAGGGTACGCGGTACGAGACGTCCCGTCCGATCGCCGTGCGGGAGAAGAAGCCTACGAGATTATCCGCTACGACGAATGTTCCGTAGACTCTGCTGAATCTCCTCGCGAGATGTGCTTTGATCACCCACGGTTGTTGACGCGTCAAGTCCAGACCCAGGAGGATAGCTAGCGCGTTGTACGGCTGCGGTCCAAAGCCTACGACGTACTCGCTCTCGCGTCCTTCAGGTGTAGATGAGAGATTGAGAGAGGTGGATAGGGGCAGGCCGAGCCCGTCGTGCATCCCGTAGTCGAAGTATACGCGTGGAGTGTAGGCGGAGTTTGAGTGCTCGAGTTCGTAAGCCCGTGCAGCGTCGGCATATTCCATCACGTTCTCAAGCGCGGGGTGCACTTTCAACAGACCGATCTTCACGACGTAGACGTCCGGCTCGCTCGCTGCATCCTCTGCTGACGAAGCGAACTGCGCTTCTAGCGAGGATGTAGGTTCGAGTGGTGCACCATCCGCTTCGGCGAAGGACGACGCGGAGCTAGGCGGAGGACTGCTACTGGTCGACACCCTCAAGCACAGAAGTGTCGCAAGGGAGAGGTATCGGTTATGGTCGACGCCTTCCAAGCGCGACAACGGGATGTTGAACCGCACGCCCTCGGGGTCGTCTTCGGTAGGATTCAACGCCACTCGACGCGCACGGCGATACAAGAACAGCGCCCCATGGAACTCGCGCCTCCAATCGCGAGCCGATTCTTCCGTATCAAACTCGAGTGAAGCGCTATGCAGTCCCAACGCTGTTTCGCACGACAACTTGACGATGCGCGGTTGAACGTGGTCGTGTGGGTGAACCTGCTTGATAGCGGAGAGTAGGATGCTGCGGATAGGCCGTATACGATCTTCGTCTTTGCTGCTCGGGTAGACTGCTACGAGGTCGTGTGTGAGCTCGAGCCAGACGCGCCGCTTCAGATTGGGTCCTTTGCGGTTCTTCTTGTGTACTGTTACTGCGCCTTCTTTGATGATGTTGGGCGCGTTCTCGGATGCGGCTGTTAGGGAGGCGTGGAAGGTTATGCGGTGGGTTGTAAGGTGTAGTACGCCCTATGTAGATATATATGAGTGACGGAGCGGGAGTTACGGGTGATGAACGGAAACATACCAGAATCGTGACGTCCTGAACGAGCGCTCCGTCCGCCTCCGCTATAAGCTTCTCCTCTCCAGGCTCAGCGAGCGCGCCGAACTCCTGCTCTAGAAGATCCACGATCTGCTCCGGCTCAAGCTTGTCCGTCCTCGCAGCATCCGCTTCACCCTCCTTGAGCGCTCCCAGCCCATCGCTGACAGACGTCTCGGAAGTCCGCGAGCTATGGCCTTCCGTCGATGATCCGCCCTCCTCATCTTCATCAAATAGATCTTCATCGTCGCCGCCGAGCGCAGTGGTGCTGAAATTGTTCACAGTGAGCTGAGCGATGCGCACGCTCGCTTGTCGTTCAGACTCCGGAAGATCTTTGCCGACGAGACGCGTGAAGCCTTTCAGCTTAGTCTGCACACTGTCGTCCGACGTGGTATCGGGTTCAGCGGCCGCATCCTCGGTGTCGTCGCGCACGACCTGGTCGTACTGTGCTGCGTCGGCAAAGATGCGGGAGAGACCTGGTTCGTTGAGGCCGAGGCTGCGCAGGAGCTGCTCCGTGGGATTGAGTGGTTCAGAGGGTTCAGGCGATGTCGGTCCAGAGCCAGGCAGGTCCTTCTTGCTGCATACGCGGGGCAGACGACCACCTCGAAAACCCCTGCGTGAAGACTTGCTCTTGAGCTCAGGAGTAGGGCTGGTAGGTGGAGTCCCCGGCGCCGATCCGGATTCTGATTCGCGAGCCGATGGCGAAGGCTGCCGCGAATGTCGAGAAAGCGTGGGCCAGCGTTTATGCATGGTAGGCGTACAGGTTCAGACCCAAGGCTATGCAAGGATCGCGATGGGCGTTCGGGAGCAAGTACGACTGTTGCTGACAGTCAGACATACGAGGGATGTGCGGCCGCGGCAAATATCCCCTAAGTATGCCGGAGCGGAAGGCGTATCAGCGTCGCGTCAGCGTTATCACGTTGAAGACGCGTACATATCCGGCCCGCTCAGTGTATCTCACCCGGGGATCGTGGACTCAGCAAGGCGCGGAGGGCCGGAAGGATACGTGTCTGACATGGAGGTGGGCGGTTGTAGGGCTGGTGACAGTGCGGGATGAGTGGGTGTGCTGAGCTGTGGCGCGTGAGGCGGGCCCGGACCCGTACGTCCGTCGGCGTCGGTCCGTCGCTAAGCAGGTTCGAGAAAACATGCGAGCGCGACTTGGACCGAACCGTCATTTCGCTGTACCACACAGTCGAGTCCTGAACATTTGAACCTCCGCACCAATACGAGTCACTTACTTCGCGCGTCTGTACGCTGCACAAAGTTTATGGCACCGTGGATCGCACGATGCCAGTACTCGAGATTCATATGCGGCACACAGGGACCGCTCATGCAACCCATCAGCATGCACAACCCGCTCATAGTGGCTGTAGACTGGTATTCACCGTGCGCAGGCGATGAGTGAATGGGTCATAGGGACCGGCAAGGCGGGAGGCCTCGAGCTTATCGGGGGGATCATGCGCGCTTCTTGTTGTCACGAGCCTCACGGTCCTGGGCAAAAGAGCACAGTCCCCTACCTGAATTGAACCCCCCGAAGAGAAGCGACACTTGCTCATACGCTCGACTCTACTAGTTGGGCTAGTCTCGTGAACATTATATTTTGGCATATAAGTTCAAGAGACCGGCTCTTTTCGTCTTCATCGTTCTCTTCCCTCCCCAGCGCCGTCATGGTAGAGTCACGTTGTTTTCGCATGCACGCACCATTGCCGAATGACAGCCGGTATTAGGATATCCTCAATAGGCGACCTCAAGGCGAGCCTGTGCTGGAGGATGGGTTCCTATGCTCCGTCTGCTTCCAGGAATGCACGGTTAATCGCAGATGCTCTGTTGTACGTTCAAGCCGCTGGGCCATCGTGATATGGGGTGATTAAGCTCGTCTTATACAGTGCAAGCTTGTCTATTATTGCGGGACAAAGGTCCGTTTAACATGCTACGTGATCACCCATATTGTGTAACTGATCCCTGGTTGACTATGCAGTGCCAAACAGCCTACTGGCACGTCTTCCCCATCTCTATATCCTTCAAGCCCTGTCTGACGTGTCACGAACAGGAATGCTCATAAAGAGGTTTGCACCCATGATACAGTCCGTGCTGCTCGCCGCGAAGACAAGATTCTCGCTTTACAACACAACATCATCGACGTGAACGAGATATGCTTCGTACTCTCAAAGTTGGCCTGTCACCTTCTCGCTCTTCGCACTACTCCGGATAACGCCGACAACACGCGCGCCCTCCATCTGCTCTGGGACCTGCACCCGACTTCGGACGGCAGGCAGATACTACACCTCCTGCGAGCGAGCATGTATGACATACCGCCTGATGATTCCTACTATCATTCCCCTACGGCGCTGGTTAGACGTCCGACGGCCTTGTCGGAGATGCATGAGGCGCTTGTCGTGTCAGGCCAGGCGCAATGGGTCGCCGTAGTCCCGGTATTCAGTCGCCCCAATTTTGAGAAGCGCCATAACGCCATGGTCGCTGCTGGGAGGACGTCAATCTATGTGCCCGCCTATGTCGATATTCTCAATCTCTCATCCGCCGATGCGCACAGGCTAGACGCTCTCGCTCAGCTCGAGATGATGTACGGCTTTCCGGAGGCAACATACGCGCAAGCTCTTGTTCGGTACGTGACCCGGAGACCCTCTTGTTGCGCCTAGCTCATGATCTGATCGTAGACAAGTGAACGACATCATCGCTGCTGATACTGAGAACAGGCACGGATGGCGTACGGTAAGTGCCACTGCTAAGTTTAGACTGTGTCAGCGATCTCATGAAGCTATTTCCCCTTACAGAGACGGCGCTCTTTGCAGGAGGGTCAATAGGATGTACGGACAGAGGTTAGAAGAGCCTATGGATCCGTTCAGGATCATCTTGTTCACCGCGCCTAAACGCATGCTCGCAATACACGTTGCTCGGGACCGAGGCCGCCGCGGCTGGCCTCGGACCGCTTCTTGTCTCACGCCATCATGGCGGTCTTCCTACCTTCTACCTTTTCAAGCCGCTCAAACTCCTCGGTGCACACTACACTCATACGGCGAAGTGCGTAATCGAGGAACGCAACAGTAAATGACGCGATCCAGCAATATCAAGTACTCGTGCTTTTCGTTGACCGTGACCTGCACCATCTGTTGGAGAAACCTCCGCCCGCGCGCTTCGCTGATTTATGTGGGAGCTCCGTCCTCCGAGCATCTCTTCAAGCCTGCAGTGGTCCGATGTCTGCTGACCGCGCCCTGGACGTTCGCGAGCCATTGACTCTGCAGCGCGCGCATCGTAGCCAGTCGACACGGACAGCGATCTCCACCCACGCTTTCATGCTCATATCTGCCGCGTGGTAGATGGTTGTGTGACCTCGGCACTTCGTTGATCTCGCTCACCAAATAGGTACTCACATGTCCGTTGCAGCCTGCTGTGCTGTAGTCGGGTTCTGTGGTAACGCATGCGTAGGGCCCGGGTGCTGTCCTTCCAGGGCCAGACAATCGCTTACGGGTATAAAGCCAGGCGTTCGTCAAACATGTTATTCCGAGCTTTCGACGTCCGCTCTGCTTGCGACGATGAAGTTCTTCAGCTTGCTGGCGGCCATTGTCCCAGCCGTATCAGCTGCATCATGGACATCGACGCCCTTCACCCCTCACGCCATCCCACTTGCCGTCCGTTCGCCCTATCTGTCAACATGGCTCCCGCAGGGAGCAGGCACCGCACTTAACGCTGCATGGCCGACCTTCTGGACGGGTTCTGTAAGCATCGCTGTCACTGTGTCTTGTACCAGTTCTGACTTGCGATGGACAGATCCTCGGTTGGGCCGGTTACGTTAAGGTCGATGGCACTACCTACACCTACCTCGGATTGCCGACCGCGACAGGAACCACCAACGCGGTGCAGAAGAGTTTCTCTGTATGTGGCCTCCCAGATCTACTTTCCTTTCCGTATGCTGAACTTGCCATCACAGTTCACGTCGACCCAGTCGCAGTTCGTGCTTACTGCCGGCAGCGTTGACATCACGGTCACTTTCCTCTCCCCTATCGAGGTGTGTATCCGCGATGGCGTCCTCTACCGATCCCGCACTGACGCCATCACAGCCTACAGACCTGGTCAAGCAGTCCCTGCCGTTCTCGTACATGTCGGTCTCTGCCAAGTCCAACGATGGCAGCTCGCACTCGGTCCAAGTATACACGGATATCAGTGCGGAGTGGGTCACCGGCGATAACTCGCTTACTGCGAACTGGGCGACCTCGACGGACAACAACCTGATCATCCATCAGGCACAGCTTGCGAGCCCGTCTCAGTTCTCTGAGGTCAACGATCACACACAGTGTAAGCGTATCCGCCCATGAGTCGACGTTCAGCGATACTGATGAACCATGTCTTCAGATGGTTCTGCTTACCTCGCTTCGTCGTCTACTGGCGCCACCTACCAGACCGGCCAGGACACCGTTGTTCGTCAGCAGTTCGTCAACAATGGCAAGCTGGCAAACACGAAGGACACTAACTTCCGTGCTGTATCGAACAACTGGCCCGTTTTCGGTATCGCGCACGACCTCGGCTCCGTCGGAAGCACCGCATCTGCACCCGCTGTATTCGTTGTCGGTCATGCTCGCGATCCTGCAATCCAGTACATCACCGCTGGTGGTGTCCTTCAGAGCCGTAGCTCGTACTTCTGGAGTGCATACTCGTCGGCAGCTGCAGCAGTCCGTCTCCAAAGTCAATCCACTTCGCTAACGCCTCTCGCTCATATGCATCTACCAGATCTCGGCGTTCATCAGCGACTACAGCGCCGCGGTTACCCGGGCGGCTGCGTTCGACTCCAAGATCCAGACTGACGCATCTAAGATCTCGACTCAATACGCTGGCATTGTTGCCGCGTCGCTCCGTCAGGCTTTCGGCGCTACTGAGATCACTGTCGCGAAGACCTCCAGCGGCTACGACACGTCGGATGTGCTCATGTTCATGAAGGGTGCGCCCCTGCTCGTCACCTTCAGCGTAAGTAACCTCTCACTCATCTCATTCTGTAGAGATCTCCAGTGACGGCAATGTGGTACGTGTTTCGCCACTTCTGACCTACCAGCCCGACTGATCATACTTATAGAACACCGTGGACGTGATTTTCCCGGCCTACCCTGCGTTCTTGTACACCAACCCAGAGCTCGCGAAGTACCTTCTCCTGCCACTGTTTGAGTATCAGGCCACCGGACAGTACCCGAACAAGTGGTCCGTCCATGATATGGGTAAGCAACGCTTTCCACTTCCGGCGAGGTCGGAGGAGTTGATCGCCTTCAGGCGCGTCGTACCCCAAAGCATTGGGTCACAACGATGGAAAGGACGAGCCTATGCCTCTTGAAGGTACGTGTTGATGTTCCGGTCACGTACACAGTAGCACGGCTGACACTGCTTCCAGAGAGCGGCAACATGTGAGACACCATCTTACGCCGCAAATTAGATGCTGACAGTTGTGCTTCAGGCTCATCATGACCCTCGCATACACGCAAGCAACGGGAAACAAGGATCTCATCACGAAATACGTTCGTTGCATCCTATCTCTTTGCGGAAACGATGTCGCTGACACACATCGCGTACTTAGTCCGCTCTCCTTGACCAATGGACCCAGTTCCTTATCGCCGAGGCACTTATCCCCGCCAACCAGATCTCCACCGATGACTTTGCTGGCTCGCTGGCCAACCAGACCAACCTCGCGATAAAGGGCATCATCGGCATCCGCGCTCAGGCTGAGATCGAGAGCTTGCTGGGCAACTCAGCCACGAGCTCGAACTACAGCGTGAGTTGCCGGTCAGGATGACATTCACCTTCTTTCTAATCTCCCTCGTCTAGTCCATCGCGAGCAGCTATGTCAGCCAGTGGCAGAACCTCGCTCTCTCCAGCGATAAGACACACTTGACGCTCTCTTACGGCGACAGCAACTCATGGGGTATTGCGTACAACCTCTACGCGGACAAGTTGCTTGGCTTCAACTTGTTCCCCCAGAGCATCTACAACTTGCGTACGTATCCGCCACACAAGCAGTTCCGTCTCGTAGCTCAAACCTACTCTAGAGGCGAACTGGTACTCGCAAAAGGAGGGCGCCTTTGGCATCCCGCTTGACACGCGCCACACCTACAGTGAGTTTCGATCGTGAGCCTCCTCATGGCATGTCCTGACGGAATCTGTAGCCAAGAGTGATTGGCAGATCTACGCTGCTGCGATGCTCCAGTCTACTTCGACATCCGTGCGCGACCAGCTCGTCTCGGGTGTCTACAAGTACGCGTCCAACTCGGTCGCCGGCAACACTGAGCCTTTTGGTGACTGGTATGAGACCACCAACGGCGTGTACACCAACTTCAGGTCGCGCCCTGTTGTTGGAGGACACCTCGCTCTCGTGAGTATTGCTCAACCTGTACCAGGCGCAAGACATCAGCTGATTGTAACGTAGCTGGCTCTTGGCAGCAGCAGTGGCGGCGGCGGATCGACGCCCACAACAACGACCACATCTGCGCCCAGTGCGACCACGACGGCTGCAAGTTCTACTTGCTCTGGCGTCGCCGCGTGGGTAAACAACGTCGCATACGTAGCCGGGGATCAAGTCACCTACAACGGCGTCCTTTGGGTCGCCAAGTGGTGGACATACGCGGATGTTCCGGGCGGCCAGGCTGGTTCGTGGGATCAAGTCAAGACATGCTAGAGCAGCAAAGTACATTAGTTTTTGGGTTGTATTGGGTCTCAGCTGTACGGTCTCCTTTCGCAGGGCTTCGGGCCTCATGTTGTACTCCATACGTTGTCAATAAAGTGACGATAGTTGAACATCACCCGGCCGGTGCAATCCAAGCGCTCATACTTACCGACGGCTTTGGATCGCTCCGTGGGTGTACATCCGAAGATGTTCACAATGATAATCAGTACACGTTGCTCGGAGATTTGACGGCAAAGCCGTGTCGGCAAGCCTCGGACCACATCTTGTCTCACGCCGTCATGGCGGCGTGCTACCTTGACCCAATACTTAAAGGTCTCCAGAAACCTCGAGGCTCTCTGTGCTCATGCGGTAGCAGAGTCTAAGGAGGAAGTCGCCGGTCATGACGCGATCCACTCAATATAAGAACCTCATGCGCTTCCCTGGCCGTGACCTAGACCATCTGTTGGAGGAACTCCTCCCCGCGCGTGTCACTGATGCATTGTGGGAGCAACAACCTGTGAGCGCTCTCTGACTTCTCCGGTATGTATGTCTCCTGACCAGTTCCTAGCACTTCGCGACCCACTGGCTTTGCCTCGTGCTTTTTTGGACGATGCATGGACGGGCACGAAATGCCAACAAGCCCGCTCTTTGACAAATCATGCTTCTATTCTCATATCGTCCGCATGGAGGTCCGACTATGTGACCTCTTTGCGTTAGGTATCTCAACTTCCCGAAATGGACTTGCCCTCTACATCTTGCTGTGCTCTCCTTGGGTTCCTTGGTGACGCAAACAGCCGTCCGCGTGTCTGGCGTCCCATGGCCTGACAGGCTTTGTATAAAGGCTACATCTCATTGAACATGAGACAGATGAATCTTTCGAGGAGCGCTCTGCTTGCGCATACACGATGAATTTACTCGCTTTGCTCGCGGCGTGCATCCCTGCCGCATTGGCTGCATCCTGGACGGCCACCCCGTTCACGCCTCCATCTATCCCTCTCGCCGTTCGTTCTCCATACTTGTCGGCGTGGTTGCCCCAGGGTGCAGGAACTGCTTTGAACGGTGCATGGCCCACCTTCTGGACCGGCTCTGTAGGTGCTCCTGCCGCTGTGCCGTGCGTCGTGTACTGACGTGCACCGGAAAGATCCTTGGCTGGGCCGGTTTTGTCAAGGTGTGTATGCCATGCCATCCCCGAAGACTCGGTGCTCACCTACGTGAAGGTTGATAATGTGGCGTATACCTTCCTCGGCGTGCCTGGCGGCGTCACTGGGACAACCAATGCCGTGCAAAAAAGCTTCTCCGTATGCCTAGACTCCGAATATGGTCCGAACAACACTGACGAATACTCCGTAGTTCACGTCGACACAGTCACAGTTCGTGCTGACAGCAGGAAAGGTTGACCTCACGGTCACCTTCTTATCTCCTATTGAAGTGTGTATTCGGATGCTATTGATTCTTTCTGTGGTCACTGATGTGGCTGCAGCCCACGGACCTGGTCAGACAATCTCTGCCGTTCTCGTACATGTCGGTCTCCGCGAAGTCCAACGACGGCGGCTCTCATTCGGTCCAGGTCTACACAGACATCAGTGCCGAGTGGGTAACAGGCGACAACTCCCTTGTTGCCAACTGGACGACGTCGACAGCGAACAGCCTCATCATTCATCAAGCGCAACTTGCCAGCCCTTCCGTCTTTTCCGAAGTCAGCGACCATACGCAGTGTAAGCGATGCCCAGTGAGAGTCTTGATGGTCCTGTCTGATTGATATACCTAGATGGCTCTGCCTACCTCGCTTCGTCATCGACTGGTGCTACCTATCAAACCGGTCAGGACGTCGTCGTTCGTCAGCAGTTCGTCTCAAACGGCAAGCTTGCCAACACCAAAGACACGAACTTCCGTGCCGTATCAAACAACTGGCCTGTGTTTGGCATCGCACATGACCTCGGCACTGTCTCAAGCACCGCATCCTCGCCCGCCGTCTTTGTCGTTGGTCATGCTCGCGACCCCGCAATTCAGTATCTGACGGCCGGCGGTGTTCTTCAAAGTCGCAGCTCTTACTTCTGGAGCGCTTACTCAACGGCAGCTGCAGCCGTACGTCTCGACCCGCCTTTCTATGCCGCTCATGCTCAACGTATCTGCCCGTAGATATCTGCCTTTGTTAGCGATTACAGCGCCGCTGTGACCCGTGCGAATACCTTCGACGCTAAGGTTCAAAGCGATGCAAACAAGGTCTCGACACAATACGCTGGTATCGTGGCGGCATCACTTCGCCAGGCATTTGGGGCCACGGAGATTACCGTCTCCAGGACCTCCACTGGTTTCAACACATCGGATGTACTCATGTTCATGAAGGGTACGCCCTTTCTCATCTCGTCTGAAGTGGTCTCGTACTCAACCAATCCTTTAGAGATCTCCAGTGATGGCAACGTGGTACGTTAGTGGCAGGCTTGCGGCGGCGCTTTCCTGACCTGCGAGCCCAACTGATCGTACTTCCAGAACACCGTAGACGTGATTTTCCCAGCCTACCCTGCGTTTTTGTACACCAACCCGGAGCTCGCAAAGTACCTTCTCCTGCCACTATTTGAGTATCAGGCCACCGGGCAGTACCCGAACAAGTGGTCCGTTCATGACATGGGTGCGTCTCATCAATTGATGCCAGCTCTCTTTTGCTCTGCAAACTGACGCCCATCTAGGTGCATCATACCCGAAAGCACTCGGACACAACGATGGAAAGGACGAGGCGATGCCTCTTGAAGGTGCGTTGCTCTTCATACTTCGGCTACACTAAACTGTAGCTCACATGTAATCCAGAGAGCGGCAATATGTCGGTGATACCTCTTTCATACTGCGAGTCTCTGGCTGACGTTCCTACGTCAGGCTCATCATGACGCTCGCATACACGCAGAAGACAGGCAACAAGGATCTTATCACTAGATATGTAGGCGCTACGAGCGTCATTGAAGGGAGTGCACATGCTCACGTATCTTGTTTAGTCCGCCTTGCTCGACCAGTGGACTCAGTTCCTCGTTGCCGAGGCGCTCATTCCTGCGAACCAGATCTCTACGGACGACTTCGCCGGCTCCCTCGCCAACCAAACTAACCTGGCAATCAAAGGCATCATCGGTATCCGCGCCGAGGCCGCGATTGAGAGCCTGCTTGGCAACACGGCGTCCAGTTCGAACTACACCGTACGTTTTGCTTGGGGGACTCGCTCTCACCCGGTCTGATCACCGCTCCACAGTCCATCGCGAACAGCTATGTCAGCCAGTGGCAGAACTTTGCGCTGTCCAGCGACAAGACGCACTTGACGCTCTCTTACGGCGACAGCAATTCCTGGGGGCTCAGCTACAATTTGTATGCCGACAAGCTGCTCGGCTTCAACCTATTCCCTCAGAGCATATACACATTACGTATGTTACGTTTAAAATGTCGCAGGGGGTGCTTGGGCTGATGTCCGGTTTAGAGGCTAACTGGTACTCGTCGAAGGAGGGGGCGTTCGGTGTCCCTCTCGACACGCGCCACACATACAGTACGTTTTTGATCTCGGCATCTTATCTGCTCGCAACATTCTGATACTGTCCTCAGCCAAGAGCGACTGGCAGATCTTCACGGCCGCTATGCTACAGTCTACCTCGACGTCCGTCCGTGACCAGCTCATCTCGGGCGTCTACAAGTATGCGTCCAACGCAGTGAGCGGGAACACCGAGCCGCTCGGAGATTGGTACGAGACCACAAACGGTGTGACCGAGGGCTTCCGCGCTCGTCCTGTGGTTGGAGGACATCTAGCTCTCGTGAGTCGCTTCATATAAATGCACAGAGCCTATGTTAACAGTCTGCGTAGTTGACTCTCTGAGTCATCTAGTCGTTCCATTCAGCATGCTGCAGATTGAACTCGCATGGTGCATGCTCCGGGTCTTTTTTGAACATTTGGTCCAGTTTTGTCGTAGTGTATCGGGCTTCAACGAACGATGAACAATGTTGTGTATAGTAAAGTTCATGCGTGAAAGCTAATCGACCTCGTCGTCGTTAGCACCGTTCGCATGGCCTGGTTTGTCTGCAACCTTCCAGTCAGCACCTACCCACCTCAGTTTGTATAAGTACTGCACATCCAACCCATTGTGGCAATGTTGGTGTAGAGAAGGAGCTGATGCCGTGACGGTTGAAACCCAGGTTGCGAAGCACTCTGGACTGCGGTTCCGGTGTATGTGACATCCGTGATTGATCGCGCGCATAGACATCTTGTGCTCTCGTAGATATAACAACAACCTCGTATATTGCATACTGGGTACACTAGAAACAGCCATTTGTATGCCTGTTAGTACCCGAGCCGTATCTGGCTTCTACGGAATCCGAAAGCAGTGCGATCTCGTCGGTTATTTCCTGCCGTTGTATGTTCGCAGATGTCCCCCGCGCAGGACTAGATATGACTAGGCGCGCGCTTAAGTATGTGAGGCGCGTAGAATGCGCTCCCTCGCGCTCAAGGATCCCCACGGCGCGAGGAACCATAGAGTCCTCGATTCATGAACGCACTTCTCTCCCGCCGGCACTCTGGCACTCTACTCATCATCCAGCGGCATCTTCTCCGCCTCCTCCCTCACCCTCCTTCTCCCACCGAACATAGCACTGACATAGTCGGCGCCTCCCAGAACCGGACCCTCTGCTCCGGGCTTGCGCTTGTACGCGGCGGCTTTGGCCTTCAAGCCCGCTTGCTTTCGCGCGAGTTCAACGGCGGACTCCGTAGCCTTCGTCTTGGGTTTCGATGTAGGCGCGGCACTAGTGGAGTTTTTTGAAGCGCCTGACGTAGTAGAAGGCGCCTTTTTCTGAGTAAAAGCATTAGTGAGAATTTATGCGTGAATGGCGATAAGCGTACTGTACGCTTGCAGAGCTTCGCAGCGCGGCCCATGATGTATAGCAGATCGCTCAGCAGAAGGCAACAAGTATATAGAAGTACAGTCGTTACAGAATAGACATGATAAAACAAGCCCGTCAAGCTGGTGATGGCTTGTGGCGAAAGGCCTGAGGCGATTTTCGAGCTGCTGAGTGGGATGCGGATCATCCGGTCCGACGCCGGGGCCACACCTTGGCCACACCGTGCTCTCAAGTCAGCGCCTTTCGGCGGAGGAATATGTGCGCAGAAAATGGAGCGCTTCTATAGGCTCTGTGATAGCATAACTGACAACTGTACAACAACAACAGCTAGATAAAATACAGCAGACAGCAGATAATGATGACTAGAGTCCATGCAAGAGGTGTACGATGTATGAATGCATTTACTCGTGTGCGTGCGCGTTGTTGAACACGAGCTGGCGGCGGCCGCGGACACCGGCGCGGAGGCGGTCGAGCGCGGGCACGGTCTGCTCCCAGGAGATGCAGGCGTCAGTGACGGACTGGCCGTACTTGAGGCCGGCGGGGCCGGATGCGGGGATGTCCTGGCGACCCTCGACGAGGTTAGACTCGAGCATGACACCCATGATCTGCGAGGCGGTCTCGGAGTTGCTCTCGAGCTGGGTTGCGATGTCCTCAGCGACCTCGAGCTGCTTGATGTGCTGCTTCGACGAGTTGCCGTGCGAGCAGTCGATCTGAGGGTGCTGTTAGTCAGGGACTATTAGGTATGAGGGCGAAGATGCGCGTACCATGATTTTGACGGGGAGGCCAGCCTTGGTGAGCTTGGCGCCAGCATCGGCGACGTGCTCAGCGGCGTAGTTGGGGCCCTTCGCGCCACCGCGGAGGATGACGTGAACATCGGGGTTGCCCTCGGTCTCAACGATGGAGGAGAGACCCTCCTTGCCGACGGAGAGGAAGACGTGGCCGGAGCGCGCAGCGCGGCAGGCGTCAATTGCAACACCGATCGAGCCGTCGGTCGAGTTCTTGAAACCAGTAGGCATGGAGAGAGCGGAGGTAAGCTCACGGTGGACCTGCGACTCAGTCGTGCGGGCACCGATCGCGCCCCAGGAGACGAGGTCGGCGGTGTACTGCGGGGAGATGGTGTCGAGGAACTCGCAGCCGGCGGGGAGACCGAGCTTGTTGACGTCGAGGAGGATCGAGCGGGCGATGCGGAGACCACGGTTGATGGCGAAGGTGCCGTTCATGTCGGGGTCGTTGATGAGACCCTTCCAGCCGACAGTTGTCCTCGGCTTCTCGAAATAGACGCGCATGATGATGTGCAGGTCGTCCTTCGCCTCCGCGGCGTAGGCCTTCAACTTGTTCGCGTACTCCATGGCAGCGTCAACATTGTTGATCGAGCAAGGGCTGGAAGAGGAAATGTGTGAGCCAATCGTGTTCGATCTAAAGCAATGTGCCGCGGCGGAGTTATGGAAGGCGCCACATACCCGACAACAACGACGAGACGGTCGTCAGTACCCCGGAGGATGTTCTCAACAGCCTTGCGGCCCTCAAGGACGGTGTGCGCAGCACCCAGAGAGCTGTCGCGAGGGCTGGAAATCAGGGTTGATTCACACTACGATGTATAGGCGGAAGCACGTACAGCGGCAAGTCCTCCTGGAGGATCTGCGGCGGGATGAGAGGGCGGGTCGACTTGACGCGCTTGTTCTCGAGGCGGGCAAGAGCTTCCTTGAATGGGATGGCCATGCCGAGATCGGAGTACACTAAAGGGTAGGAGGAAACAAGTGAAGGAGAAGTGAGGAGAGGAGGATGATGACTTCAGTTCCGTCTGTCCCGACCTACTTATACGAATCCCGAACGGGCTCACGTACTGATGCAAGGGCGCTGCGTGAGGCAGGGCAAGCGTGGGTGGTGGTAGTTGGTCGGAAAGTTTTGGAATCCCGGATCGGATGAGGCAGCTGCTGTGGTTGTTCGAGTCAAGCGCCTGCTGAAATTTCGAGCTCTTCAACTTCTCCGAACGTTTCGGCTTTGCGCGGCTTGCTTCCTCCCACCGCCATCTCCGAATCTGTCACTTATCCTCTTTTCTCTCGCCTATTCTACCTCTGTTAGCAGTATATTCGTTGTATTCGACATTTGCACAAGAATATTCAGACGCTCGAGCCGCTGCTGCGACCGCCGATCCCCTACGAAATCATTCGTAATCCCATGCTGGAAACACCGTTGCCGAACGTAACGTGCGAGTGAGTCCGCGGGACCGGCATCGAACAAGGGGCTGGCCGAGCCGCCCATGAACGAATTTGTTCTCGCTGAATATCCTGGGAGAATGCGTGGGGCTCGCGCTCGCGCCGCCGCCGAAGATCGACATGTAGACTCTGACGCGTGATCGCGAATCAGCCACCACAGACTCCGTCATATACGTCTCTCTTTTGCGCGTATTCGTTCCCTATCTGAGCTTTACATGTTCTCTCGGCAGGCACTGCACACGTTCTGATACAGAGGAGGTATCTTATCGCGCTATCGCGTCTTCGTTGCGTTGCGTCCATGCATACACTCGCGTTTAACTAGCACGTTCAACTGCGTTCAGCGTTCTGCGATCACCATTGTCAAGCTTCTCAGATCTGAATCTCGACCGAGCGTAAGTAAAAGAGATTCAGTCTTCGTGGACATTCGCAGCTCGCAGTACACAGAGACCTGGAGTTCTCGCAATCCGGCCCATTATTACAACGTTCATGCGAGTTACCAGCCTGCGCCATCTTGGGATGCAATCGTTGTGCGGCGCCCGTGTGCGACCATTGGTCGGAGTATAGAGGACATCGTGCCTACCGCCTACGCAATTGGCCTTCCGGCCCACGTTGTTCACTGCATGATTGTATTGTGCGGCCGCCTTTACACTGTGAATTGCTCAGTCTGGCCGAGCTCGGGCGCTGTGAAGTCCGACCGATCGCTCGACGTGATGGCCCGAGCCCCACCAAATGCGCCGCTCGGAATGAGCAGGGACGTACAGACGCTGAAGAAAGCGCTCAAACTCGCCGTCTTCCGGAGAGGTTGAGCGCGCAGCGGAGAACCCCTCCGACGTGCTACGAGAGGACCCATTTGCAGCGAGATAGGGTTGAGGAAAGGGTCACGGTGATTGTGCAAACGTCAAGGGCGGCGAGTGCGAATGCGCACGTCGGCGGTGCCAGCCTCGACTGCGAACTCACGCTGCGGCCTGCTTGCCCGAGGCGCGGTCGGTCAGCGGGTTCAGCCAATCGGACAGGCCGCTATAGGCCGTAGCGTTGCACATTGTTTAGCCTTTGGGCCATCGATCACCAAGGCACCGCATAGCGCAAAGATATTATGAGTAGCTGTGGCACGAATCAATCAATATGAACTAGTGCAACGTCACTGACCGCACCGGTCAGCGAGGTTGTGGGCGCATGAGGACGCGTTCGGCGCGTCGGGCCTGGGTGCCGGCGAATTGCCAGCGCGCGTCGCGACGCGCCGAACGTCAGACGCGTCTTGCGGCCTGCTCTCACGTCCAACTCTACCTCTTCCGTTCACCCGTCACCTCTTTTCTTGTTAAAATGGATACCTCTGGATTGAGCGCCGCTGAGCAGCAGCATATGCTGGCTATCATCGAGAAGAAGCAGGTAAGTGCTGTCATGTGCATATTCAAAGGCGGCCGCCCTAACCTAATACTTGTTCTAGATGCAAGAACTCATGAGGACATACTCCAGCCTTGTTGAGCGCTGCTTTAGCTCATGCTGTAACGACTTTACGAGCAAAGCACTGTCTTCTAAAGAGGTGCGTAAGAGTTATGTATGATCTGTCAACGCGCCTCCTGAACGAGGCTATGTCTTTCTAGGAATCGTGTATGCAGAGCTGTGCGGCGAAGTTCATGAAATACTCGGAGCGCGCAGGGGCGAGGTTTGCGGAGGAGAACGCAGGTACGTGTCTGAGTAGCGAGGCCAGTGCGTCAAGCTGACGTTCATCTATCGCAGGCGCAATGAAAGCAGTGGGCAAGTAAACTGTTAATATGGGCAATTTTGCCCGGCTGCGTATATCTATCCATACTATTTCATAATATGCTTTGCATCCTGTCGCACCTTGCTCCTTTGCACGTTCACACATCACCCAATTCATCACCTGCTCGTGCGAAGTACCCCAAGCGGGTTCAGTTGTATACCAGCAGTCTCTTGGGTTGGTAAGGCCGTCACTGCCATGGTCTACGTCAAGTTCTGTAGGCGTAAACGAATCCTGCGCCGATACCATGCGTATTTGACAGTGCCACTGAGGTGGAGCCTTCGGATTGACGGCAATACTAGTTGCGCTTCCTACAGAACAGCATCGCCTCGATGACACCAGCGGGCAGACGTTTGGGCTCTTTTGGAGAAGTTCATCCTAGCATCGCCGACCATGTTGTCTGCGCGTACGCCCTTCTAGTTCTCGCCCGCGTCTCCGGTGTACGGGGACTGAAGCCCTGTGAGGCTGCTTGTTTACAGGCGCGAGTCTAGATAGTAGAAAGATCGTGTTGAAGATGCAAGCCAGCCATAGACTATTAATCGACCGAGACACATATATAGCCATCAGCGTCAAAATAGACTTTACTGAGTGCCCGCCCGTCCGAAGTGTCACAGCGGGCCCGAACCAAGATATCACCGGGCCCACACCCATTCCTCTCTGCCTGCTATCATGTCCACACTTCGTCTTTGCCTCGTAAGCCCAGCTTTGCCGCATACACGTACTGCGTCGGTACTAAGCGCCCCGTTCATGTGAGCGTGCTCCTGACCGGCCCACAAACCGGCTAACGAGTAGCCGAGTCGAGGTGTGGCCAGATCGCGACATGTAGAACTTCAAAAGCCCCTAGCGCACGCACGCGGCTCTCGAGCGAGCTTCTTGCACTCTTCTTCACGAACCACCATGCCGCACCCTCTGTTGAACAAGCCTGCTCCGACTATTACTTGCCCTAACGCTGACGGCGAGGACTTCACGTTCACGCCGGGCGCAAGCGGCAAGCCTGCCGTCGTCTTCTTCGTGCCGAGTGTCGGTGCGTGGACAGTGCTTCTTTTCCCGGGCCAGTCAACCTGAAGGAATACTGTCAATTAGGGACCTACGGATGCAGTCGCGAGATGTGCGGCTTCCGTGATCAACTCGTTGGTGAGCATCTGGGCGTCTGAATGATCTTGACCAGCTTTCTGACTATAGTTCAGACGGCAGCGCGTTCTCTGACAAAGCGGTCGATCTCATTGGCCTTGGCCCGAACCCTGTGAAGGATATCAAGACCTGGGTCACGGATAACAACATCAACGTACGCTGAAAGTCAGAGCGAAGCGATCATAGTCCATGTCTGATCATCCTGTAGTACACCGTTTTGAGCGACGAGAAGGGTGAAGCGCGCAAGGCGTTCCAGTGCGGAAAGGGCCTCATGGGGCTCAGCGAGGGCCGCATCTCGTTCGTCATCGACAACAAGGGCATCGTTCGGTACGCTTTCACGCATTCTGCACCATTCGAGGGATCCTGATCCCGTTTGCGCATTTGTAGTGATGTCATGGACTCTGTGATCAACTACAACGGTCATGTTAAGTTCGCGCTCAAGACCATCGAGAAGCTCAACGGCGAGTCCAAGCCAGTCGCTGAGGCCACTCCTACGACGACCGCTCCGCCTGCCGAGCCGACACCTTCCTCTTGAGCAACTCGCCTCCTTTCACGACGATGACGCGGTCTTTCTGTATGGAGAAGTATACCTCATGGAATCGGGTTCACGTTGTATGAATACGGTTTTGAATTTGCTTGAAATGGCGATGCACTTACCTCCGAACTCATACTATCCGCCACGCGGGGCATACTGCAGGCTCACTGCGGCGCGGGAAGACCCGCTGCACCGTCTACTTGTCGGTATGAGCCTAAAGCCGATGAGCTTCATCAAGTCTGTATCGGTACACTGGTGTAGAAGCGGTCTACCAGTATGCCGTAATGACACCGGTCTATTACCGGCGTGGTCACGCCTGATTTCCTGCCGGCGTCCCCGACTCTTCCTGATGCAACCTGGGTCTCACGTATGATCATCTTTCACTTATCGCTTTACCATTGCATTGGGCCCAACCCTTTGCTGCGGTCTCTTCGTCTAGCAACATAGACGCGATACGCCTCAGCGATTTGCGGCTTGCTTGAGTTGCCCAATCGGATGGCGATGTCAGATGTTCGGATGTTCGGGTCTTCTGGTCGTTCTTCCTCCTCGTTTCCCGAGAGCATCGCTGTCCGTCACTGGCAGATCGGGGCGCTTTGATACATCAAGCGAATGAGCCGCCGTAGGGGCTGTGCCACATGAGCTACGAAGTAAAGTAGGAACGTGCTGCTCTTTCGAATCAAAGAGATCTCTTACTCACTTCGCGTCTGCTCATCTTACACCCGTATTTCAACTCCTTTTCGGTACACCCCCCGCACATTGCGTCCGTCTCGTAGTATGGCGACGACACTGAGATGCGCCACAGCGAGCTGTAGCCTATCCATTCATTGACCCGGGTGTACCGGGTCAAATGCATCGCCAACCAGTCTCACTACACCCGCTCCCTTCACTAGAGAGTTTGAGATCTCTACTGCACTTGTCGATGATCACCAAGGCTCGTTCGTCTTTCAAGTATACTGCTTGCCACCCTAGTGCTGGCCCTAACATGAGAGGTGTCTGAGTTCCAGTCTGGGGTACTGATCTTAGCGCCGAGGCGACATGAGTGAAAGCATAGGATCTGAGTGGCCCTGGTGATAGACGCTCGTCCAACTGCCAGTCGCGTGTGACCGTGTGCGTGTTGTTTGCAGCCATTCATCAAGCCGCTTAGCTATCATCGAATGGGCGCGCCGGCCAGAAGTGCTTTGTAGCCTCAGCTCGGGCCACTGACTCCTCCGCATTGCGTGGAAAACCTTCCCCATGCACGAGTGATCATCTTCTGCCTGGTGCGCACTGAGCTGTCTCGTCGGACTGCACTCCGTCTGACGAGTTCATCACGGCAGTCAGAATCCCCGAACACGCCATTGGCGGTGCAGTAGCAGCATGGTAGAATCTTGCGGCGTACTACTGGCTCGTCTTATGCTTCCTGACTTCCCTTCGTAGATGAGATCGCAGTGGCGGATGGATGATTTTGACGGTCCTATGTATGTAGCGGCGTCGTGCATTGTCGTATCTGCTAGCCATCGAGACTCGAGCGTTCCCTAGCCTGATAATGAGCCTCGTGTACAGCGCACAATGGAGGATACGGTATCCGGTTGTGAGCTATTCTTGCGACTCCCTTGCGGATCGGCAGATCGTACGATGATCTGCACGGAAATCGTCTGGCTGTATATCAACATGCTCAGTTACCATCGACCAAATCGGCCATCCAGCATGCTCAAGATCAGCACACGACGTCAACTCTCTCATACTCAGGCGCAAGCTCACAACAGCTCCGACCCGCATAGGAGATAATCAGAACCCGCCATCGAGAGATGCATCACAGCGATATCGTACACCAAGAAGAGAGGTAGAGATACAGTGATGGCGAGACCTTGCACGCTTCACGACACAGTCAGACATCCGTTGCGAGTGGGAAACTACAATTGCGCACATATGCTGTTTCGTGAGGCGGAGACAAATCCCAAAAAGAATAAAGGCCCGGCTATAGTAATGGATGAAATGCGAAGGGTGTCAAAAAGGGTTGAAGAGCCGAGGCGGTTTATGCGACATGTAAAGTGGAATGAGTGTGACCTGTCCTGCAGCGGAAGAGCATGGGATAATGTAGTTGCAATTAAAAGCAAGGATGCACAAGAAGGTAAGAAGGGCGTCATCAACGGTACCGAAGCGAATCACCTGGAGAATGGTCTACACTGCGTGCGGGGAGCCACCACGCGCGACGTTGAGTGGCTGGGTCTGAGCCTGAGCGAAGCTCCGTACGCCAGCAGAGAAGGGCGGCGGATCAGGACGGCTGGTAGAGCGGAAAGACGGAGTGGCTGGGGAGGCTTGACTATGGGAGAAGTCCGAGTAGGTAGCCGAGCTGGGAACGTCCAGCTCATGGGCATCGCGCTTCGCGCTGACTGGGGACAACCGTGAGGACGGAGACATCACTCGAGGGCTGAGACCTGGAGACGGCGGGCTGGGACGGCCAGAAGGCATGCCGCCTGTCAAAGGGTTCCCAGATGGAAGACCAGGCGTCAATGCGGCTTCCTCGAGCATTCTCTCGATGTCCAGATCGGCCAAGGTGCGTGCGTTCACACTCGCGAGGCTACCGTGCCGGCCGGGCGTAGTGCGGGCCGACGAGCGTTGAGCCGATGATCGCTGGGCGAATTGGGGCAGCGTGAGGATAGGCGGCGGAGGCGGCGAGGGAAGCACAAAGATGGATGATGCTGCACTCTTCGGCGTCTTCGGCGTATCGGGCATATTGAGTGGCACGTTCGTATTAGACCGAGGCGAGACGTTGCCATAGGGAGTACCGGTTAATACTCGCGTCTGGCGCATGTCAGCCATGTGTGCGGGAGCAGGAGCTGGAGTAGTCTCCTGTGCGTTTCCTGGCGGAGGCGGTGGCCCGCGCGGCTCAAAGGGAGGCGGGTCCGAAGGTTGCACAGGGGACGCATAAGGGTTGACTTTCTCTGGATCTGACCGAGGGAAGATCTGGTCGTGGAGTTGGGCAGTACGGCGCTTGCGACGCTCCCGAGCAACAAAAATGAGCGCCAGGAGCGATAGTGTACCGGTGACGGCGACTGTTGAGATCGCGATGACAATGATAGACACCCTATGAGGAACGTAGTCAGGCACTCGTTATACAAAGTTATCGCTCAATCAGGGCTCACCTTGAGAGGCTGCCAGAGGACGAGCTAGTTTCTCCCAGGGCCTGGGTGCTCGATGCCGCACTACTCGCGATGCAGGACGTCGGACTGGACGTATCGCCAAACACGGTGAACAGGTCCGACGTCTGGGCATCAGAGTCGCCACCATCGAATAGCAAGGCCACTTGCGTGCCGCGAGTAATGTTCATGAGGTAATTCGCTTCACCATCCGTCGCATTTGTTTGGGAGAGCTCGAACGACGGGCCGCGGGGAACAAAGGCGCGTACGCTGGGTGCCGATGTGACAGTGGACGCGTTGAAGGTGATGGCCGTGTCCACACATTGGGAAGGATCCCCGCTGATAGCATATGTCGACGGCTGCGCGAGCGATACGCCATTCAGGCATGAGGAGTCATTGGATGGGGAGGCTGCGACCAGGATAATGTCGGACGTGTTAACTCCGGTGGGTCGACCGTAGGCATCGTCGAGAGATGCGAGGAAGTTGGTGCCGGCCGCTAGTGGTAGGAAAGTAATGGCAGCGCCAGTGGCGGACGTCGAGTTCCATGCGTCCTCGGGGATCTGGATGTAGATGGGGCTGGCGTTGAAAGGAATGACGGTGAGAATGAGGGGGAGAGCGTCTGGCGCGACGCCGCCGCCAAAGGAGACATTGAAGGCACCGCACTGCTCGACGGGCGAAAAAGAGACGGTATCAAAGTTGCCCAGGACGGCCAGCGGTCCCAGAGCCAAGACGGCGAGGATGGCCCGCAGGGCGACGCCCATCGTCTTTGAACAAGTCTGCAGTCTGCTCTGCTTGCAATAGAGCTCGGGGTGGAAGAGAGCTCAAGGGTGACGCATGCAGCTGAGAGAAGAACGAAGAGTGATAAGGTAGATGGCACAACAGGCCAAGTCGAACCCCGTCCGACTGTCGTGAAGGCTGAAAGGAACCAGGAGCACAAGCGGCCGTAAGGCGTCAGCGGAGACTACGTCGCTCCGCCAATTGCCGCGCACATCTGCCTGATGCGGAACGCTGCAGTCAAGCCTCGATCCGGCGGTTACCAGGGCAGCCACCAATTCAGTGCGATGCCGCAGGCCGCCTGTGATACGTCTGTCATACCTTGTGAGTTTTTGTTGGACCAACCAGAGCCTGGGCAACCGGCACATGTATAAACAAGGCGCCCGCCGTTCTGGTAACAGGGACATCACGACCGAGAGGCAGATGGTTCACGAGGCGCGTACCCTCTTGAGACTTGATTACCAGCTCTCTTTCCCTGGATCCTCTCTCTCGCGGATGGAGGGTGCACAGAGGAAAGGATCATCGAGAGGGAAAGAGTCTCCCTGGATCATCATGGTGGTCCGCTGCTAGGATCGGGTACTCCAGTATTCCACATAACAATAGCCTCGCCACGTGCGTCGGACCGAGCCCGAAATGTGGCTAAATTACCCCGCATCATTCGGGCTGCTTGCTCTTGACCATGTTCCGGCCGCTCTACACTCGCTCTCTACCCCGCACGCTAGGGCTGTCGCGACGTCGGTTTATATCTACAACTACACCTGAGATACCTGCAGAGCGTCATGGACATCTTCCGAGCTCTCATTCACTCATAACGCCCACGCTCTCGTTCTTCAACTCCGTCACTGGAGGCGGGACACAGATCCCAACATACAGAGTGCTTGATGGTGCGGGGAACGTTATCGAGGGCGCAGAGATGCCAGAGGTACGATGGCGACTGCACCACCTGTTTCATTGCTGAAGAACGCGTGTAGCTCGATCGTGACTTTGCCAGGAGGATGTACGTCCCTTGTCCTACTTGTGAACGTAGCCACTGCTGATACTACCATAGATATGAGAACATGGTTTGCTTGCCCACTATAGATAACCTTCTATACAATCTGCAACGCCAAGGCAAGATATCCTTCTACGTGAGTGCCGTGTGTCTTCGGAACTGTTGTGGCGCTTATATCACATCCATCGTCGGGACACACAGATGACCGCTGTAAGACCATCTCTAGATACGTATCGCGATGAAACGACAATGAATTAACTCCCACCCCAGTATGGAGAGGAGGCCACTATCATTGGAACAGCTGCCGCCCTTGCGCCCGACGACGAGTACGTGCCGTGCATCCGTACCTAGACTGAAGCTAATCATACCTTACCCAGAGTGCTTGGTAAGATCGCTTTCATCCATCAGTCTCATCGTGCTGAATGAAATAGGTCAGTACCGCGAGCTAGGCGTCCTTCTATTCCGCAATTGGGGTCTCAAGGCCATCATGAATCAATGTTTCGGCAACCACATGGACAAAGCAAGCAAGGGAAAGCAGATGCCGGTGGTATGTGCTTCTCTCGTGTGATTACGCAGTGAGCTGATAGTATCATGATTGGCAGCACTGGGGTTCGCCAGAGCATCACTTCCATACGATCAGTTCACCTTTGGCCACTCAGATACCTCAGGCGGCAGGAGTCGCCTATGCTCTACAGCGTGATCCCGAGCGTCGTGGACACAACTGCGCTGCAGTGTACTTCGGAGATGGCGCCGCATCGGAGGGTGACTTTCATGCAGGGATGCTCTTCGCATCGACGCTACCGTCACCGACACTGTTCATTGCGCGAAACAACGGCTTTGCAATCTCGACGCCTGCTTCAGAGCAGTACTACGGTGATGGCATTGCTGCCCGTGGACCGGGATATGGTATGGACACAATACGAGTTGACGGTAACGACGTTCTCGCCGTGTTGGCCGCTACACGCGAAGCCAGGCGGCGCTGTATCGAGAGCGGCCGTGGTGTATTACTCGAAGCTATGACTTATCGGTAAGTGGTCCGTTACTCATACATTGTCTTCGGACGCTCATTGCAAATGCAGTGTTGGACATCACTCCACTTCTGATGATTCTTTCGCGTATCGACCAAGGCAGGAAGTCGAAGACAGGAAACGTATCGACAACCCCATTGCGCGCTTCCGGCTGTTCCTTCATGCAAGGGGCTGGTGGTCAGACGAGGAGGAGCTGGCGCTCAAGGAACGCTTCAAAGAAGAGGTTATGACGGAGTTCCGCGCCGCGGAACGTGCCCAGCGCCATGAACTCGGGGAGCTCTTCAACGACGTTTATGCCGGGGAGCTACCTTATAACTTGGTGCGTCTGCCATAGATTTGACCTTACCAACGTGCTAACGAGCCCATAGAAAGAACAGCGCAAAGAGCTTGGACGCCTGGTTCGCAAGTACGGCGACGCTTGGGAACCGTGGCGTGAAGAACTCAAGAAGTTCAAGGACGGCGGCAAGAGCGTCATGGATATTGAGGACAAGTGATAGTACTCGGAACAATCTAGCGAACATGTATCATAGTATCTACGCTTTCACAGGCCACACAGGGATGGGCTGGACGGAGGATTCCGACTACCGTTAGTCGGCAAGTAGCGGCGCCACGCCGGGCCGTAGCACATGTGTCGCTGCCGCGCTTTGAGATAAAACCACCATGTTCCTTGCGAGATCGACGTCTTCTATCTACTCTTTGTCAGATGCCGAATACTGGTCGCGAGATCTATATACTGAATAGAGAACCTCAACATGCGGCTCTCGTTCGGCACGTTTCGGGCCGTCAGGCTGCACAATCTCCAACCTCCGAGCAGTCCAGATAGCGTCAGGTCAGCCGCGCAGAACATCCACTTGCCGTCGGAATGACAGGCGCGCAGAAGATCGCTGTGTCGTATATCAGGGACAGTGACAGATGGCAGCTTCCCGGATTTGCTTTCTTTCTCTCAGATTATTCTCCGAGCGCGGGGCTTGACGTCCGTTCAACCGATCTCTACGCTCGTCCAAGCACAGCGCGCAACACGCTTTTGTGCCATCCGCGCCCGCGTATTGTGATGCGCATAGTTACGCATCACACTACATATCGCCGAGCTATTTGTCTCCTTGTCGATCTTCCCTTCCTATAGTCCAAGAACAAACAAGGACCCATCGCGCGACCGCTCGGCAGCAAAGCGCCCGTTCTCACAACGGTGGAAGATGTTGTTCTTTTGGCGTACTCGGAACAACGTCTGCCGCATGGGTGCACCGCTATCGCGTTGGAGCGCCGCATGTAAGAAGAAGGCTTCTCCATCGAGGCGGTCCGTGATGCTCTATATATACTGGGCAGGTCAATAACCGGATATTACTCGAGCCGTCGACGTTCTTCTCCAAGTTCGACATGGCCGTCATCGCGCGTCTCGCTGTCTGCGCTTGGTTCTTAGCGCTCGTCGCGCTCACGGCCGCACGCGACACGTCACCGCACGCTCTTCACGCAAAGCAGGTCGCCGCGACGCAGAAGATTCGCGATGCTGTACGCGCGGAAGCCGAATCGCGGTACGAGCGTCGCGCGGACGAGGCCAAGGTGAAGAACATCACGTTCTCGAATCCCAAAGCGTCGGCGTTCTACATCGACGGCACGACGCTTCCGCTCGTCGACTTCGATGTCGGCCCGTCGTGGGCTGGACTTATCCCGATCTCCAACGCGACGAATGAGACGCGCAAGGTGCGTCGATAGTACTTATACTTAGCTCACGCCTGGTCGGGCTCATATGCTTTGGTTGATAGCTCTTCTTCTGGTTCTTCCCACCCGGTCCCGAGGGCTCACTTGACGATCTGATCTTCTGGACGAATGGGGGCCCCGGTTGCAGTTCGCTCGAGGGGCAGCTGCAAGAGAACGGTCCCTTCACGTGGTGCGCGCTGTTACTTCCCGTTGTCGTGATCGTCTATTGAGGCCGGCTTTGAATTCCTAGGAACCTTGGTCAGGCGCAACCGACTGTGAACGAATGGTCATGGACGAACTTGAGCAGTATCATCTACATCGAGCAACCCGTTGGTACCGGGTTCTCGCAGGGCACACCGACTGCGCGTAACGAGGAGGATGTCGCTTCGCAGCTTGTTGGATTCTTGAACGAGTTCCTCGATATCTTCTCTGAGCTCAAGGGCAAGAAGCTGTGGATTACGGGCGAGAGTTACGCGGGGATGTATGTGCCGTACATTGCCAACTTCATCTACGAGAACCCTGGCTCGGTCGATCTGGACTTGCAAGGTATCTGGGTGAGCGATCCTGTACTGGGTCAGGACGTGGTGCAGGGAGAGATTCCGGTTCTGCCGTTCGTGGAGAAGTACCGCAATGTCTTCGCGTTCAGGTAAGGATCGCTTGCATCACTTGTCCCTGAAGTAGATGCTCATTCGCCGCTTAGTGATGACTTCATGGCAAAGCTGCAGTCCATCTCAGACTCGTGCGGCTACACCGGCTACCTGCAAGAGCACGTCACGTACCCTCCCAAAGGCGTCCTCCCTCTGCCAAAGGGCGGACGCAACTGCGACATCTGGGACACCGTTTTCGATGAAGCCCAGAAAATCAACCCTGCGTTCAACATCTACCGCATCTTCGACACGGTACTTGAGCTTTGCCCTCTACATGCACCTTGACTTGAGCTGATACGTATATGCAGTGGCCGGTTCTGTGGGACGTTCTCGGTTTCCCGGGTTCCTTCATGCAAACCCAAGAGTTCATCTACTTCGACCGTCAAGACGTGAAAGAAGCCATCCACGCCCCAACAGACGTAACCTGGTCCGAATGCTCAGACATAAACGTCTTCCCACACGGCGACGCCTCCGAGCCCCCAGCACTCAACGGCGTTCTACAGAACGTGATCGAAAAGAGCAACCGCTCCGTCGTCGTGCACGGTTTGGGCGACTTCATCCTCATTGCGGAGGGCACGAGGGTGGTGCTGCAGAATATGACGTGGAACGGGATGCAAGGGTTCCAGAGCCCGTTGCAGAATGACTCGTTTTTGGTCTCGGGGATGGGCAATGTGCCGCTGGGAAATGTGCAGAGCGAGCGGGGGTTGACGTATTATGAGGTTGCGTTGAGCGGGCATATGATCCCTCAGTTCTCGCCTGTTGCGGCGCTGCAGATCAGTGAGTCTTCTTTGGCAATGTGCGTGCAGGATGAAATGCTGACTAGGTTTACAGTGTCGTTCCTCATGGGTTTCCGCGACACGCCTTGAGCGTCTAAAAGTTCACTGCTGTACTTACCGTAATGCTGTTCAATATGGGTTTCTGCTGTCAATACTATCTCTGTAGCCATACCTAACACCCTACGAGCCCGCAAGTCTATCTGAAGTGAAGGTTCCTTCGTGTCTGTAGTGACAGCCGTTCTTCTACATGACCGGTGGCCGGTGCCACATGCTTCGGGCTAGCCTCGGGGATCGGGCCCGCGCTCCGACAGTCTGAGCGTCGACTCTCATACCGCCATGTTCTGTGCACTCTGCACCGACCGCAACAGTATACCAGCTTACAAATATTGTCACGTAGAATCAATACCGTAGGTTGTATATTGTGAACCTCCAAATAAGTACCTGCTTACAATTTCGCCTTCTCAACCCTCAACCTCCCCAACCCCTCAATAATCCCCTCAACCTCCCTCTCCATCCTCCCAACCAGCTCCTCACATGTAGGCACATCATGTATCAGCCCCACGCTCAACCCAGCGCTCCAGATCCCCGCATCCACATCGCCGACCTCATACACCTTCCTCCCCCTCGCACCGCTAACCAATTCTCGCACATCCTCGAACTTCGCTCCTCCGGGCCGCCGCTCGATCGAGACAACCTCAGTGGCGACGGCGTTCTTGAAGACGCGCGCCGTGTTGTGCAGGGTGCGGAAGATGTGCGCTGTATCTTGTTCGGTGGCGGATACGATGTGGTCTTTGATGTTCTGGTGGATGGGCGATTCGACGGTGCACATGAAGCGTGTACCTGTACACAAAAGTCAGATAGGATTGTCTTCGGATGGATGGAGGCAGGAGGAGAGTGAGCGTACCCATGTTGATGCCTGATGCGCCCAGAGCGAGTGCGGCGGCGAAGCCGCGGCTGTCTGCGATGCCGCCCGACGCGAGGTAGGGTATTTTGAGCTCTTCAGCTGCTCGAGCAAGCTATAGTCGCAATGCGTCAGATGCAGAACGAGGAATGAGAGGACGGATTCGTACGAGGATCAGACCGGGTACGTCTTCCTCTCCGGGGTGTCCTGCGCCTGCGTCGCACATTAGTGATGGTGCACGGGAGCGCTCAACTAGCGAAGAGCTTACACTCGAAGCCGTCGATGCTTAGCACGTCAACGCCCATCTTCACAGCGGACTATCGTGGCACATCACACTCAGTGCGAGGTCGTCACTCGAAGGAGGTGTTGTACGGACCTTCGCATGCCGGATCGTCGTGCACTTGTGTATGACGATACACCCCTTACTCTTGAAGAACTCGATCAACCTCTTCGCTACATCCGCTCATCAGTACATCTCTCCCCACATCCAGTCCTGACACCACACGCACGATTATTCCCAGCCGTCTCGAATATCCGAACTCCCTCCTCAACAGCCGCGCGCGCGTACCCCTCGTAATCAGGCGGATTGATCGTAGGCAACAACGTGATATTCACGCCAAAAGGTTTCTGGGTCTTGGAGCGCGTTTCGCGGATAGCTGTGCGTAAAGCAGCTGGGGAGGGTTGGGTGAGTGCTGTGAGGATGCCGAGGCCGCCGGCTTCGGATACGGCGGCTGCGAGGGGCGGGAGGCCGACCCTGTGCGTTGATGTGCGGTGAGATAGGGCAGAGGAGGGAAGGATTGGAGAGATAGTACCATTGCATGCCGCCTTGGACTATGGGTCTGGTGAGTGGTAGAGTCAGTCAGTGCGTATAAGTATGGGTCGCTGGGGAGGGAGTGGCGCGTACACGCGAATACCCAGTAACTTCGTTATGGGAGTGACGATAGGCATTGTAGTCGAGAGTCAGGTACAGACGGTGTAGAGCGTAGGGAGGTAAGAGTAATGGGGGTAGGAAGGGAAGGCTCTGCGGTGCTACTTCCCCGCGTTATGTTGGTTGAAGGCAGTGGTAGCCGGGTACCGGGGGATACATGTGATTGATCAAACAATGTGGTGAAGCATCCCTGTCGGGCTTAGCGTACAGTGACATCAATTGTATGTGTAGCGCGGGCAAGCTTCATTGGCAGGTGCAACTGGGTCTACGTAGCTGGTATGTATAAGCGCGGCGCTGGTCATGGTCGAAGTTCAGGCGCGCTCAAGGGCGCTGCGCCACTCCATGTTCGAACACAAACCCATGATAGCCGCGTCGCACTATCACAACCACTCGTTCAACTGTTGCATTAACGCATCTAATTCGAATATCGAGCACCCCATCCAGGGCCTCGCAAGCACCCACGACAACGAACTACGTACAAGCACACAGGCTAAGCGCTGTAAAAACCAAAGCCAAGGCCAAAGCCAGGGTGAGATGAGGGAGGAGAGGTAGGGAGGGTATTATAACACAACGAACGGCGACGTGTCAGTCAGCGTGAATTGATAGCACAGGGGGTTCGACTGAGATTTCCGAGAGACGAGGAGTTTGAAAGCACTTGAGGGATGCGGGGGTATCTCATGTATTGCTGTAGTGGCGTAAGGAGCGGACAGGACGTGATGTTATCCCAGATGCAGAGGGCGTGATACGCGTGAGTGGAGTGGTCGGAGCAGGATCAGTCGAGACGGTTAAGCCCGGCAGCGCTCCGCTTCGCGCGCTGCTTCTTATGCCCGCTCGGCACATGCCCTCCAATCGAAGTCGGCTCGGGAACAACCGCACGCTTATCGACCGTATACGTCGGGCTGACGTGTTTACTCGTCGTAGCCGCCGCAGAGCCCACAGCGGCGCCCTGAACGGCTTCAGCGGTCGAAGAGGAAGAGTCCGTGACGACGTCGGAGCCGTCGTGTTCCTCTGAGCCGCCGATGGCTTTGGGGCTGGATTGCACCGTCGAGGTGTTGGTGTAGTGCGAGTAGACGCCGAGGCCGACGGCAAGACCGATGCAGGCGAGGAGGGTGAGGCCGATCACCCAGACCCAGCGGGACCAGCGGGCCGTACCGCCTGCTGTCTTGCGCAACCACCGACTGCAAGCACATACCATCAGCTTATTGACTCTCAACGAAAGCAGTAGAACGCTAAAGGCTTACCTCTCCTTCTTCGCCGTATCGTCCTTAGCGATCATACTAAACCTCCTCCAGAAATCATCGCCCTTCTCACCGCCCCTCGCCAGATTGCCCTCCCTATCGCTCCTCAGAATCGGCGTGCGGAACTGCACACCAGGCTCAGCCGGGCTCTTCTCGGGCCTTGCAAACACCGGCTGAATGGGCGTCATAGTGGGCGGGAGCGGGTGCGGCGTGCTCGGAACATTGATAGGCGCGACGGGCGGGCGGTTAATGGTGAGCGCCGCGGGAGGCGCCTGCCGCATTTGGGGCGGTTGAGGTTGTTGCACGCGGTGGTCGTCGCCGAAGGGGTTCGGCATGCTGGAGGGCGCGGGCGAGGCTTGGCGCGCGTTCAGCGCTGCGACGTTCGCTGCGTAGCCGGGGCGCGGCGCGGCGAGGGTCGGCATGGGCGCGCGCGGGGGCTCGTCGTCGTCCGAGTCGTCGCCGCCGTTCATGAGGTGGAACCCGATCCCGTCTGCGCCCGAACGGCGCTTTTCGTCTCGAGGCCAGGCGTTGTTGCTGCTTTCGCACGTTAGTGGGTGGAGGAGGGTATGTGGGAGAGATGGGCGCACCCGACTGCGTGCTGGTCACCGAATACGTTGTTGGATTTCTCGGCTAGAGGCGAGGAGCGGTACGCTGGTGCTGCCATGGTTGGTGTCGGTGGTGAGATTCAAAGTCAGAAGCAGATTGACAGCAGGGTGTCCGTGGGTGGAGTCAGTTGTAGGTAACTGTGAGTAAAAAGAGCGAGCTAGAGAGCGAGTGGACGGGTCGCAAGAGACGAGTTTGAGACCCAAAAAGAGCGGTGGGAGTCCTCGGCTTCGTCGCAGACGGAGGAACGAGAGGTCGAGGGCGGGAGATGGACTACGGACGGTGGGCGGGAGAAGCAAGAGCGTTGGATGGGATTATGTTCTGGATCCCGTTCTATAACGTTAACGCGCTGAATATAGCCGATTGGTTCTGTTCGGGGCACGCGGCTCCCAGGCAACGCGTGCGTGGCTTACTACGGCGAGAGAAGAACAAGGGCCTTCGGAGCTTCCTGAGCTCGGTCAGCTAAGTAGATGGGACTCCGAGGATGACGTCCAGGTTCAAGTTGATAGGCGCCCATCAGCACTGTCTGTCAATGTTTGCTTGGAACAATGACGCCCAATATACTTGGCGATATTTGGCGCGCAGGGAAGCATGCCCACGAGAAGCCGGCGACCGGTCCGCAGCAACCATCAGCCCATCAAAAGAAGATCTGTCCGTTTTGGGAAGCAGATATGCAGCCAAACACGGTTGCACGTGGTTCGCGCGCTAATTGCGCGCTTCTGTTTGTTGAGTCGCGTCGCGCGTTCGTCGTCTTGCTCCAGCACCACCACCTCCCTCCCTCTCTCTCGCCTCATATTTCCATTGATTAGACATCAGATAATGGCGAAGAGACGCGTGGAAGAAGTCGAGACTGACGACGAGGACGCGCCGCAGCAGCAGCAGCAGCGGAAAGTCAGCGGGTCGAAGCGCGCACGCTTTGACGGTGGCGCGCCGCAGACGCACGAGTTTGAGGACGACGAGGAGCGCGCAGAGCGCGTTGAGAGGCGGAAGGGGAAGAAGAGGGCGAGTGGTGACGATGAGGAGATGGACGAGGACGACTTTGAGAAGCCGGAGGACCGGCCCGTTGACGAGGCGGCTGAAACGCAGTTCGAGGAGGAGCACGAGGAGGAGATTCGTGAAAGTATCAGGCAACGGCAGAGGCAGCAGGGCGTAAGTGCTTTTAACTCTCTGCAGATCTGCTTTTGTTGACGCGTTTTGTGCGGACTTGCAGGGCGTGGCGAAGTTCGGAATCATCGAACGCGTCGAAATGCACCAGTTCATGTGCCACAAGTATCTCACGTTTAACTTCGGACCGCAGATCAACTTCATCATTGGTATGCCGTCTCTTGCGCTGCTCTGCGCGTCTTGCTAACTTCTCTTATCAGGTCACAACGGAAGTAAGGACCACTTCGTCGTTCTACATCGACGCGTTATTGACCTTTGTCTTAGGTGGTAAGAGTGCCGTACTCTCCGCCATCACCATCGCTCTCGGCGGCAAGGCCAACTCGACCGGTCGCGGTAATGGTCTCAAGTCCTTCATCCGCGAGGGCCAAGGGTACGTTTCTTCCCATGCCCTCCGCGTACAGCCCTACTAACGTATGATTACTCAGCGCATCCGAGGTAACCATCGTCCTCAAGAACCAGGGCGACGAGGCCTACAAGCACGACGTCTATGGCGACAGCATCGTTATCACGCGTCGGTTCACCAAAGACGGCAGCTCGTCGTACCAGATCAAGAATAAGGCTCTGCAGAAGATCTCGACGAAGCGCGAGGAGCTGTCGGCTATCTGCGACCACATGAACATTCAGGTCGATAATCCTATGAACGTCTTGACGCAAGGTAAGGCCGGTTCGTGCTATGTGAGTGATTGTAAGAGGCTAAGCGCTATTTGTAGATGCCGCTCGCCAGTTCTTGGGCTCTGCGCACGCTACGGACAAGTACAAGGTATACCGACTTCCTTTCTGATATGCATACATGACGCTCACTCGACGCCTCTGTACTTAGTTCTTCCTCAAGGGTACCCAGCTCTCCCAGCTCTCGGAGGAGTACCAGACCTGCATGGAGAACGTTCAACGCATGCAATCCATCATCGAGACCAAACGCGGCGCCATCGACGACCTCGAATCTGCGTACAAGGAAGCCTCCCTCCGCTTCAAAGAAGCCCAAACCGCGCGCGAGCACCGCCACAAGATCGACAAGCTCAAGAAGGAGCTCGCCTGGGCGCACGTGCAGACCAAGGAGGACGAGCTCAATGCCAAGGTGCAGGCCACTGCGCGCATTGAGCGCCATATCGAGCGCGTGCAGGCGAGCTTGGACGGGGCGCAGAAGGAGGTCGAGAAGGCGACGGAGGAGGTGCAGGAGAAGGAGCAGGCGCATGCGGAGATTGGGAATATTGAGCATCTGCATGAGAGGGACAATGAGATCAAGACGAAGATCTCGGGGCATAAGAAGAAGCTTACTGAGCTTAAGGTCAGTTCCTCTACCTTATTCGTCGCTTACAAGGCACAGTATGCTAATGCGAGGGTTCGCAGACGAACGAGCAGAACATAGACGGCGAGGTCAGGTACATCCGTACGCAGATGGAGAGCATCAAGAAGCAGAAACGCGAGGAGCAGGCCAAGAACGCGTCGTACCACGAAGGCGCGCACGAGGCGCTCGTCCAGCGTTACGAAGACTCCAAGCTCGAAGTCGAAGCGGCCGAACGCGCCCTCCAACAAGCCGAAGACCTCGTCGTCTCCAAGCGCGCCGAGCGCGACGCCGCACGCGAAGCCGGCCAACAGGGCGACCGCGACAAGGCCGAGGCCGAGCAGCGCTGGCGCGGCGTGCAGCAGCAGCGCCAGACCGTCGAGAGCTCCCAGCGCGACGAGCTCGCGGCGTTCGGACAGAATATGCGGGCTGTGCTGCAGAAGATTCATCAGACGAAGTGGTTTGGGAATACGCCTGTTGGTCCGCTGGGCCGGTTTGTGAAGGTTAGGGACGGGCAGTGGAGCGAGGTGTTGAGGATACAGATTGGGCAGATGATGACTTCGTTTGCTGTTACGGATATGAGGGACCGGGCGACGCTTGGGAAGATCCTCAAGGAGTCTCGCAAGTGGGTGCTGTTTCTTATCGCTACGATATTGGTACTGACTAGTCTTGCTTCTGTAGCCCCCACGCCTCGATCATCGTCGCCGAAGTCGACCTCTTCGACTACAGCGCCGGCGAGCCTGACGCGCGCTTCCTCACAATCATCCGCGCGCTCGACATCTCCGACGAATACGTCAAGCGCGTCCTGATCAACCAGTCGCGCATCGAGCGCACCATGCTCTTCCGCACGCGTGGCGAGGCCGACGAGGCGCTCCGCAACGTCCACGGAGGCGGCATGGCCATCACCCAGGACATGTTCCGCGTCATGCGGTACCCCGACGGAGGAGGCTCTTCCAGCCCGCTCACCCTGCTCAGGCAGCAAGACACGCGTCACCTGATGTTCACCGGCCGCGACAGCGCAGCCGAGATCGCGCATTGGAGGGAGAAGGAGCAGGAGGCGGAGCGGGCGTTCCGCGAGGTCTACGAGCGCGTTCAGCCGCTTCTGCCCGCGTTCAAGCGCATCGAGCAGGAGGTCAAGAACGCGACGGCCGCCGCGCAGCGCGCGCATTCGGAGCTGAACAAGGCGAAGCGGAAACGCGACGATCTGCAAAACGAGGTCAACGAGGACGTGCAGCTCGAGACGGCCGGCTTGGACGAGACGCTTGCGGATCTGGAGCGCGATCTGGGCAGGATGGCGGCGCAGTTCGAGCCGATTGCGAAGGAGCGCGAAGAGATTACGAAGGTGGTCACTGAGCTTATGAACCAGCATAAGGAGGTCAAGCAGGGGATCGCGCAGTTCCATAAGCGGCAGGAGGACGCGCAGCGCGAGATCGAGGCTGCCGTGCTCGTGAGGGTTCAGGCGCAGAACGGGGCGAAGCATTGGATGGAGAAGATGGCGGAGGAGCAGAGGAAGCTGAAGGAGTCGCGCGAGGCGGAGGACGTGCTGAGGGAGGAGTTTGAGAACTGGAGCGCGAAGGCGAGCGAGTATTGTGCAAGGGTTGAGGGGACGCGGAAGCCGGATGTTATTGAGAGGGAGTTGACGGGCGTGCAGAAGGCGTTGAAGGAGCGCGAGAGGAGGGACGGGGCGACGGTTGAGGAGATGACGGTTGAGGTCAACCGCACCCATGCAGCGCTGCAGAAGGTCAAGGGCGAGCTTGATGAGCTCGACGCGTTGACTCTTGTACGATCTTTTCCCTTCGACTTTTTGTTGAGTGTGTCGCTGATGGGATCTCGCGCAGATGCTCAAGAAGTCCGTGAAGACCCGCGTGCAGAAATGGCTCGACTTCCGCCGCCACATCGCCTTCCGCTGCAAAGTCACGTTCCAGTACCACCTCTCCAACCGCGGCTACTTCGGCAAAGTCATCTTCGACCACATCAACCACACGCTCGATCTCAAGGTCCAGACCGACGACGTCAACGCCACGCAGGGCGCGCCGGCCGGCAGCCGCGAGCGCGACCCACGCGCGCTGAGCGGTGGCGAGAAGAGCTTCTCGACTATCTGTTTGTTGCTGGCGATGTGGGAGAGTATTGGGAGTCCGATTAGGTGTTTGGATGAGTTTGATGTGTTTATGGACGCGGTTAATAGGCGGATTTCGTCGAAGATGATCGTACGTTTTCTCCCTCTCCTCTTGTTACTTGAGCGGTATGCTGATGGCATTTGCAGATCGACACGGCCAACTCCAGCGATGGAAAGCAGTACATTCTTATCACGCCGCAGAGCATGGACAACATTCACATTGGCCATACCGTCCGCGTGCACCGTATGAGCGACCCCGAGCGTGGTCAGGGCACGCTCGCGTACGGCAACTCCGTCGCCTAGATGCGAAGTACCGGCGCCCTTATACCCTATACACATTCGACATAAGTCTATTCGTCTGCTAATGCTTAGTCTCAGTCCCTTGTCTCGCTTCATTTGGTTCCTATACATTGACACTCCCGTAATGCGTCTGGTAGCGTACGATGTGGACGTGAACGCTGTTCTTTATGCATATGTACCCCCATTAGTACCCTTGTCCTATTGCTTCGCTAGTATCGATACATGCCTAGATGGTTGTACAGCTATAGTCTACCGCACCTATATACATCATTGTTCCTGGGCTCTGCATGAAGCTCACCCCTGCACGGTCTTCCTCGCGAGGCGCGTTCTGGTCCATGTAAGTCAGATGACCGTGTTTCTTGGCCAATAATCTTGGGCGTACGGCCTGCCTTCGACGCTCATCTCCTCCTGGCCTCTTCTGACTACTCCCTGCGACACTTATAGCTCAACATATCTGCACCCATGGCAGACGCAACCCCATCTCCGGGTATCTTCCCGCCTCTAAACCGCGCCGATGTCCTCGCCTTCCAATTCTCATCCTGGTACCCAACATTCTCCTCTTTATCCATCAAGTCAACAATCATCCGGCCCGTACCAGAGGGCTTTCATGCGTACCTGAACGCGGACGGCGTGTTTCTGCCTGAGGGTTCTGTTGATGTGTTCGTGCGTAATCCTATACTTTCGAGAAGGCATGTGTAGTGACTCTTGGCTAGGCCGGCGAAGAGCTCGATTGTGGATGTCGATGACGAGGAGGAAGACGAAGATGACTCTTCAGACGAGGATGGCGAAGAGGTCAACGTGCGGCATGCGTTTCCGGAGTTGGACGAGAGAATACGCGCCACTGTGAGGGAGTACGAGGCAGTCTTTCCCAAGTTGAACTTCTCGTCGCCCAAGGTGCGCTATTGCGCGTTCTGTATGTCGAGTGCGCGCGTTGAACTGAATTTGGTTCTAGGATGCGAGCTGGTTGCTACCGTCTTCATCACCGCTCAAGTGTACGGACCCCGCGGAAGTCTACATGTTGCTCAAGTCTTCCGACTTTATCACGCATGATCTGGACGCGAGCAACGTCTTTGCGGGCTGCGAAGGATACGAGGATGCGGTACAAGTGCAAAGCAAGTCCGACCGCTACGAGCTAGAACTCATACTGCGGAAATGGTATCCGGTTGAGCGTGCGAGAGAGCTGAGATGCTTCGTCCGTGACGGTGTCGTGCTAGGTATGTCGGCAATGCCTACTGTGCTGAGATCTGGTCGCTGACGCTGCTTCGCAGGTATAACGCAGCGCGATGAAAACGCTTACGATTGGCTGCACGATCCAGATACGCAGGCTCAGATCGCTCGGGATGTAAAGGAGTACTGGACGAAGAAAGTGGCCCCACGATGGAAGGGTCCAAGCTCATGTACGCATATCTTCTGTCTTGCATGACCTTCGACTGATACCAGTCATAGATGTTATGGACATCCTGCTAACGCGAGACCTGGCTCGATTCCATATCCTCGACTTTGCGCCCTACGCCCCTCGAACAGACGCGCTGCTCTTCACCTACGACGATCTCCACGCCCTACATCTACGAGCCGAAGCGTTGCCAGAGCTCCGTGTGGTGGATAAGGACGCAAAGCCGGCGGCCACACCCGCTAACGTGCATAACATGGTCCCGCTCGAAGCGCTCAGCCTTAGCGCAGGCCGCGGGATCGATGACTTTCAGAAGGTGTGGGCTGAGCAGGTGCGGAAGGGTATGCAGGACTCGGACAGCGATTCAGATAACAAGGACGTGTAATGCACATCTATGGCTACGAGTATCCTCCTTTCCCTATACCACTACTACAGTGTACAAGCATGCAACTATACAGTTGTTCACAACGGGTTTGTCGTATCATCTCCTAATAAGCGATAGAAATCCGCCACAAGGTACAGACTTCCAGCAACGACAACCAAGCCATCCTTCGCCTGTTGAGAAGCCCATCTCAACGCTTCGCCAAGATGTTCCGGCTTTCCATCCGGCGCCGTCCAAACATCAACGTCCGGGAGTATTTCCCTCGCAGTGCTGGTGATGTCGGATGGTAGCACAGGTTTGACCCACGGCATACCCTCAACGGATGAGAATCCTGTCCCGGCGACTGATACCCTGGTCTTCGTGCTATTCATGCGCGCAAAGGCAAATAGAGCGGATAGCGTCTCGGACGGTGTCTTTGGTGGAGAGTGCGATAGCGCGAGGATGAATGCTATTGGCGCTTCTGGATGGGCGGCGAGTATACGTTCGATGTAGTCGGAGAGTGTCGTTGCGGAGGCGGCGTTGTGTGCGCCATCCACTAAGATATTCATGTCGGCGGTCAGGCCTGGGAGCTTGTTGGCGGATAGCTTGTGATACGAGAGACGACCCGGCCAGCGCGTTGACTTGATGCCTTGTGATACGATCGCAGGCGAAAGTGTATCTCTCAATGCGAGACGAGAGACGCAGGATGGATGCGAGAGCAACGTGCTGATGATTGCGGTTGCGGTACCAAGATTGTCGAGTTGGTGTGTACCGAAGAGAGGTAGCTGGGCTGGAACAGAAGAGGAGAAACCTGACACGGAGACAGAGACGGGCTGTGGCGGTGGTGCCGAGAAGGTTGAAGGGTCCGCATGCGGTCCGTCAACTGCATCATCCCAATCTCGTGCGAGTGCAGGAGAGGCCAAGATGCAGTCCGCGCCTGCATCGGCAACGACTGCTTGCGCAACGTCTATGACGCTGGCGTGCTTTTGTGGCCCAACGACGAAAGGCCGTCCTGAACGCGCGATGGACGTCTTCTCTCGTGCGATCGCTTCGACGGTGTTGCCGAGAAAAGCCTGGTGATCCAGGTCGACGGCAGTAAGCGCCGACACGAGCACGCAGTCATCAGGAATCGCGTTCGTCGCGTCCAATCGTCCGCCTAAGCCCACTTCAAGCACAACCACATCGAGCTGAGCGCGTTGGAAAGCCAACAGTGCAGTCGCCGTAAGGACCTCGAAGCTGCTCACGCCCGCGCCACAATCCTTGTCGACGCGCTCAACCTCGGCCCGTGCAGCCGCATATTCTTCTTCAGAGATGGGCGCGCCGCGGATGGAGATGCCATCGCGGACTGCGACCAGATGTGGCGAGTTGAATCGGCCTATATTGAGCCCAGCTGCGCTTAGGATGGAGGAGACCAATGCGGAGACGCTGCCTTTGCCATTTGTACCGGCGATGTGGATCGTTGGGCGGTTGTATACGGGCAGATGAGCTAGGAGAAGCTTGATGCGGTCGAGCGACAGGTCTATAGACATGTTTGGGAGACGCAATACGTTGGACGATCGGAAGGCACAGCTCCGAATGTGGGTGAGGTGCGTCGACGCGGGAAACAAACCAGATGCGGTGGCGCGGCGGGCGGCGCGCCTCTTCGCCTTGACCGTCATCAACACGCACGGCCGCAGATCTCTATTCCTCTTTTGTCCGAATATAGCAATTTGCACCTCGCTCTCCAACTCGTAGGGCTTGGTGCCTGTCTCAAAGCTATATCCCGAGGGTCAGTATGCTCTTGCTAGCGTGGCCCCGACGCTCGTGGATGTGCACGAACGCCGTGCGGTGTGTTTCCGGCGCATCAAGCTAGATGAACTGGAGTCCGGGAGCGCACAAGCTCATTATAGCAATGTATGCACTTTGTTGGGAGCCTCAACTCAGACCGAGACGCTGCCAACACATCTGCCGCCAAGTGGGCAAACGGCCAAGTCGATGAGGATGACCATGAACCGTAACGGCGAAGGAAGACTTACGCCTACGATGCGATCAAGCTAGACCATCCTTGGCCAATAGAGGTGGGAGATCCCATGCCATTCATCTCAGGTATGACTCGCGTGTGCGATGGAATGCCTGTCGACGTAAGAGGCAATGCGCTCCTACGGCTCGTACGTATATAAGACACTTCACGCTGCAGTCGTGCTTGTCGTCCACCGTCACCTTCCCCTGACGTGTCATCCTCTCTTGCACGCGCAAAAGCCATGACGGACCCAAACCTACCCACTTCCTCGACTGCGACTACCGCGCCCTCGCCGGTCAATAGTTCTGAAAACCAGGCTTCAGGAATTACACCAGAGCCTGGCACATTTGCTGCCTCTGACTCTTTTGGTGACGAAGTCGCCGGTATGTGGTTACTCTGTATGGTGGAGACAGGCGACAATGCGCTCACACTCCTACAGCCCTCGTTCTGGAGATCGAAAAGCAAAGGGCGAGTATGAGGGCGCGGGCAGCGGATGACGAAGCCCTGAGCAACTCGATTGAGAAGTTCACTCGCGACACGAGTGCCGCCTTGACATCCGTGAGCGAGTCAGCACAAGAGCTCGCGCGAGAGGTCAAGCGCAATTTGGAGACTATGAAAGAAGACATCGTTCAGCAAGTGAAAGCGCGTGTAGATGGTGGGCGCTTCCAGTATCACTGTTGAGACCCGAACAAGCCCTGACAGTAAACTAGCGGCGAATGAGGAGATGGACATGCGAATCAGCAGCCTAAAAACCGCGCCTCGGTCGGAGTGGGAGACTATTATGTCTGCCTGGCCACCTCTTGGGCGCTCTCGCGCGTAGTTAACGCTGTCTTGATGCCCGCCGTCGCTGTCGATTTGGCCTGTACTTCTTGAACTTTGATAATGACCGCATCGCGAGTGCGCAACGATGGGGAGAATGAGTGGGATCTGGACGCATGACAGTCTTGACACACTCTGGGGACTGGCCTGGTCTGCTTCGGTATACTGCCGAGCCTGACCCTGAGGGGGAAAGCGGAGTGGGCGCTTCCATAGCAGCTGATAGGCACGAGGTCGGCACGAGTCGCGAGTCGCGAGTCGCGTCTTCGCTCTGACCATCATCGTCGTGTACGACTAGCTATTGGATACACCTACACCTCTATGGTCCCTGGCCCTATCTTCAGTATGCTCGGTTCTTGGGAATTCTGCTTGGTGAAGTCATCCGTATTCTGCGAAGATATTGTGCTAGACGCCCATCATGGCTGTGCACATTCGCAGCGTTTGTCATCTCGAAAAGAAGACACAGAGAAGTGTAAGGAACTCCGACAGACGACGATGCCGAACTCTGCCGGTCAGCGGCCGACCTCGACCTGGATGGACGTAGACCAGATAGGAAAACAGATACATTCGATAGGGTAAGGTTCCACAGTGGATGCTGATAGAACCGGACGACGCCGCGAGAACGCTCAAACAGCGTCAGCTGTCAGTGTTTGCTTCTTTCTTGTGTATCCGATGAGGTCCGCCGGTCTACTCAGGAGGCAATCTGCTCCTACGGTCTGTGTATATGTAGCGTTTCGTGCTTTGAGGGGTTATCAGTCATCCCACAACCATCCCCCAGTGCACGATGTCCGACGGATCTTTGACTCCTACCAGCGACAGAACCGTCACCGAATCACCTGCGCCTGCCGCTTCTAGGGCGCCCGTCAGCATGTTGGCTCAGGCGAACGCGCTTAGCGCACAGGTCTCTGCCCTCGCAGCGAACTTGGAAAGTTACATTAGTATGCACGACTAATACTTATCTGCAATGTCTGCCGGAGCTGACGTGATCATAGCGGCGGAGAGAGAAGCTAACGCAGCCAGGCAGAGATACGGCGCGGAAGTGAAGAACATGAGTGGGGTATTGACGGCCACTGAACAACGGCTCGACACGTTCGAGACCATGCACACGACTTTCGTAAACTCTTTTAGTGAGACTGTCAAAGAGTCACTCGGCGTTTTGGGTGAAAGGATCGTGGAGATGGATAAGCAAGACCAAAAACATCACGGAGGTAAGGCTAGATCCCCGGTCATCGTCCCGCATCAGTCAAGCTCTAACTCTGTACTCGTCTACTAGAGCTGATGGAGCTAGTACAG